AATTAAATAGTTGACTATAATAGACTATGCAAAAAGTATGGTACCATAAGGGTGATTTTCCATATAATTTGATGACAGAACTACACGAACACCACATCATTGTATGACAATCAGCCGATCAATACTAAAACCAACAAATCAATACTCAAATCAGCCAGTAAATACTAAACTAAACTTTTATTATACTTTGATAAAGCTTCATGACTCCTAGTTTATATTATCTACTTTATCCACGTATGAAATATAAATCCGTAGATACACTGTCCATGACTAGGTACATTATACCGTCTTGTTTCAGTCCGATTAAACAGTTCCAGTAATTATAAAGCTTCGCTCTCTTTAGGCGATGCCGTTTAAAATTTATTACTGTTAAAGTCTTCATGCATACAAAATTATAGATAAAAAGATAAAACTTCGTTATGCCATTCAATATGGTCGATTATAATGCTCTTGTACCGTTTTCTTTGATAAACTGTCTCGCCCGCAACACTATTCTCCCAATATAGAGACATACGCGATTCCGTCGTGTCGTTTGTAAATACGAGAATGCGCTATGTACCCTTGTGATTACAAGACTACATTTTGGTGGAGCTAAACCAGCAATGTACTTACAATAAATACTTTTATTAGTTTCTAATGTGAGTTGAACATGGTTGACTATGTATCCCCTCCAGGTACATTGTATTTTGAGCTCTTGAACAAACCAATCGTCATATCCTCGATATGATTTATGTCGAACAATACAGCTTCTCTTTTATGTCAAGGTAAACATCAAATAATTATTCAAAGATTCATTATTTAACATTACAAGCGGATGAAAGTGCCCTATAACGGGATACTTCTAAGGAGCAACGAACCTCACATCACTCGAACAATTCTATGATTCGACGCAGGCCATCACGTGTTTGATCGATGGTATTTTATCGACGGAAAGTGAGACATCAGGACCTATTGACCATACCGTTCTGTTTATTTACTGTATAGTATTTCGCTGTAGCTGGCAAGTGACTTACCACTGACAAACATATATCGAAGTCCGTGGACTTACTGGCTCCAATTTATATAGTTACAAGTAACATACAAGTACATAGTAGACCGCCACTTCGTCAAAACCGCATAAACTTGAGACTAGAGTTGTCATCCATCCTAACTATTAACGTTTTATGAAGTAGGCGATATTGAAAATAAATAAAAATAAGCTAATCACTTTATTGATGTGAAAATGTTTACCGATGCCTTTGAGTGTAATTAGATACACGAGTCGGTTAGTATGTCGGTACATGAAGATTTATATCTAGAACTGGTTTTGATGCCAGCCTTTGTAAACAAAGTGTATCCGGATCCGATGGTAGGTACAAGAAAATACACGTATTTAACTCAATAAATGTGTGGTTCATAGAGCTAAAAGGCTGCACTGTTTGCAAGCTTTATGATGAACACGATGATAATCGAACGACCTAACTCCATCCACTACCAAGCCTCACAAGCTCTCAAGGGTAACTGATTGTTATCGTAAACAAAACTGTTTGATAAATGTTGATCATTTCGCGATAAACTTTTTCATTTGTATGAGATTGATTTGATATATACACAAACGAGTTACATGGCTCATATGTGTCTACAAAACTATCCTGCACATTTATTAAGGATGAAGTGAGTCACGGTTTATATCAATTCACAGCAGGAAAATTATCATTGTAATTAGTGAAAAGAATATGGAATCTTTCACTTAATATACCTCATTACCCCGGACATAGAATACTTTATCGTTACTTCACACCATGTCATATTGTTTTACGTCATGAATAAAATTTTCGTCACATTTCAGGATATAAGTATTTTTTACTACAACAAGTTTATGATACGATACAACTTACTATCACCACAACAATTTTAGGTAGGCTAGAACTTATCATCATCACAACAATTTTATTACATGATAGATGCTTATCATAACCCTAACAGTTTTATGACAGAATATAACTTTGTTTCCATAGCAATTTTATAACATAGTATGCCAATCATCATAAATACATATGATGACTTTATACAAACCTATATGTATGGTTAAGATTTGTTTTTAATGTTTGAGGAGTTTCGATGTCACCCTCGATGCACGATTTTCTTCATGTATGCTTGAAGATAATGTACTGAAGTCGGGATTGCGTAATTTTAATGTCAATTTTAGATCGAGTAAAACACACCGTCTCGTTTATCATTCATACTTATACGAACATGATGTACTATAATGGATGATTATACATGCTTATACAATATCTATTTTTAAATGTGTGTGTAAATTACACCACAGTTATATTTAAGGACACAGGAGTACGATCTCTGTTAGGATATAAGTGTTAACCATATACTCTTTATATAGCAACACACCATACCAGACAGGCGTGATTGATATTCAGAGAAAATCAGGCAAGCTTTGAAAAATGTGGTCGACTTGGACTAAATATTTTTCTTGTTGCTATTGGTGATCCTGCGGTAGAATTGACCGTTACTCTCTGTGTGTACCTGTTATTGACGTTCCATGCCATTAAGAAAACCCTTTTCAAGTCCATGAGCCCTATACATGTACATGTAATAGGTATTTCAGTCTGTGTGTTTACATTTTGGCTTTTGTGAATCTGTGATACACTAAATGAGGTAGCATTAGGTCGGATTCTTTCCAGGGGTCCGCAACCTTGCTACCGAACTACCTGGACCATAATGAATACATTATTTTCATTTCATAAAAAACAATATCGTTTTTCAACTTAGATTTGAATTCAAGTGCTAACAATGGCATGACAAAATTTAACGGGTATCACTTTTTTCAGTAACAAACCTATGTTTATTAAAGACGTGTTTCCCTTTTTCAATTTCATTTACTATCTGAAAATAACACGGAGATCTATTTAGATACACCTACACAGTATAAAGATGTCTTAAAGGAAGATTATTTATTATACCACGATCTTTACCTTCGAGTTAAGCGTATAAAGGATGTAATATAGACCAGCTAAGTATAATTCTGTTATAGGCACCATGACAACAGAAACCGGTGTTAATACATAAATATCACACTTAATTGAATCGTATATATATATATATGAGATGTCGATCAACTCAACTTTGACTTCATGATAACGGATGTTATTTTACTTACCAACAGATAAATAAACATGCACATGCATGAAATATATATGTATATTTATGAGGTCTGAGTTGGATGGGTGTCATTGGCAAATGAGAAAACATAACTAATTTGTTCATGAACTTTAGGCGAATGTGCTTTCAATTAGGACCACTTTCAGTCAATAGCCCTGTTTAAATTCTCAGACTACTGTCTATAACCCCGCACGCTTTACTGCTTTTAGGAACAATACTACATACACAGGAATGCATAGGTATCCAAATAGTTTATACGATGCACAGTTTGTGTAACAGATTGTCACGGGCTACATTAACATCAAGGGTTTAAACATCGTTCTTTTGATATCTTTATTTATGTTTAATACTGCTGTATTATCAGTTCATTAATCTCTTCAATTTTTCATAAAACACGACTCAGTAATAATCGAACGCGTAAAAATTACAACTGTATGAATGTTGTTTCCACAACATGCTGTCATCGTAAAATAATATACGATACGTGTTTGTGGGACCAGATCAACTCCAGCTGATATGAGTAGATGTTTATCGAGACGTACTGCAGATTTGTTAATGTCACAATCAACCTATTTCGTCAATAGGCAAACCTGAAACAATAGAATTGCATACAAATACAATGGGTTCCATGTCACTATTCCTTTGTATGTATCGGTAACGGTATTACCTTAACCCTGGATATGTTTACTCGTTAAGGTGATCACATTTTGATAATATCACGACACAAGATTTCGTTCAATGGATATCAAATTCAGAATTGCTTTGTTTCGCAATAATACATTTTATGACAGCATTCGATGAATAGAAAAGTTTTATTATATCATCCCAAATATGGCGCATTTAGAAATTATGAATTTTAGGATTTTTGCCTTTTATAAAAGTGACAATATAAAATTATGTTATTCAGAGTTTCAAATGATTGTGCTATAAAGTACAATTTAAACCCAAATTTGGAGTAGAATTGTATGAAATAACACTGACCTATACGGTAAGTATTTACAGCGAAATACCACCTCTGTCTTTATGTGTTTTTAATGTGTTTGCCATTTCATGGAATCAGTTCATCTTATGTATTATATACATGTTTTGCATGTCTGCAGTAAGCGAGTAAATACGTATTTATGCCATATCGTTTTACAGTACTTTAACAATATTTCTGCTGAGGCAGCATGCCATCTCGCCCCTTCTTGAAATATTTAATTTAATAACCGCTTTGAGACAGCTATGTTTCATAAAGAGATACGAAAACGTTTTGCTGATGTTTTTATCTCTTATACATGACGAATTTGTCAATAGTGGTTGAGATTTTCATGCTGCAATTACATTTCAAAAACTCTTCCTTTCAGTATTCATATGTTTTCACCGCATGTCACACTGTACCACTTCCATATGGATATATTATACAATTCAACTTTTTCCTGTCTCTGTTTTACTGCAGTACAACCATTCCTTCACGAGGTTGTTAAATCATTTCACTTGTTGTATGCAATAAGAGTTATTTAGGTCAAGTACGGTTATTGACAAGTTGATTTTTTTAGATGTCATCTACATATCTTTTCATCGACTAGTTTAGGAAGTAATTATAATATGGTTTCGTCGTGATTGCAAACAGTTGCCATATGTGACAGCTTTCTACCATATCTTCCATTTTATTTACCACAAAGTGTTAAGAAATAACAGATTATCTACACTAGACATACCTGTACTGCTCGATCCATCTACCCCGTATGGATGTCAGACTTTTCTTTTTTCAGTTGTTACACAAATTTAATCACGTTTAGTATTGAGAATTTGTTTCATTCTCGCTAAAAAATGATTGTTTCACATTTTTATTTTTCCAGGTCTTCATTTAGCAATATTTAGAGGAGAAGATGGCGAAAGTCATGTTCTTGATGCCTACTGTCCTCACATGGGAGCCAACCTTGGGATCGGAAGTCGGGTTGTCGGTAATTGTATCGAGTGTCCCTTCCATGGCTGGCAGTTCCGAGGAAAAGACGGAAAGGCAACTAAGATACCATATGCTGACAAAGGTAAGGTTGCAGAAAGTACATGTCGTCCATAACCACAATAAAGAGCACAATAGGACATCTCAAACAGTACCTTCCAAACATGACTAAACAAATTACCCTATAGAATGTATTATAATTTCATTCCCGATATCCTTGTAAACATTATGATATATATGTAAAGCTGGTCATTTTTCTACTATGCAAACCTTGTGATATATATATTTTTGCTAGTATAGAATAACTTTGATATGGATTTTCTGCTTGTTAAACGGTATGATTTAATGGTGATCATACGTACACTTTATATCAACAATAGGGTTTCATGGTAGTCCTCGCTAGTGAACTGTATACGTGGTATTAATAGCACATCTGTTGTACATTTTGCTGATGTTACAACGTTTATTCATCAATGCTGATATCGATACGATGCCAATGTCACATTACGTCATACTGTGCAATTTATATAGAACTCGAATGGTGGAAATGTTCACCTAGAACACAATTATACAATATTCATGTACAATATATTTTGTAATTACGATTTTTAAAACAAAAATCTCTCTGGAAACCGAATAGAATGAGTAAGGAACAGTACTTGTTTTCCTAATTACATGTTGTATTTAAAATGAAATGTGATGACAGATCTTCTCTAAGCCATGTATGTCTGGAGTAAATCTGCAATCAAATGAACGTACGGGATAATTTTGACTTGGCGATGTGTATAACTGGTTAACTGTACTTGTAAAATTGACGGATTTATGTCGACGCCGTTATTTTAGGAAAATTGTTCCTTCTGTATGTGTTAGATTTCATGACAATCAAACACACATTCCTTCTGATCTTATTAGTAAAATTTAATGTAAACATAGATATATCTATCTCGTACGGATGTTAATTGTCATAGTGCTGTCTTAGAAATGGTAAATTGGTTCCGGGCCTCTCTAACAACGATATTTAAATCTTTTTTATGTAATGTGAGACAGACGCACATGAAAAGATAAGTATCATTACATTAACCTTTTCTATGGAGTATAATATTCTAGAGTATTAATCGTATTTAGAATTGATTAAGTAAGCCATGTCTCACGCGCAGTGTCCTAAATATAGTTCAGTTTATTCATTCATTGACCAAATTACGCTTTCACAAAGCCTTTTCATGGGAAACGAAGTAGTTTCTGTTCTTAAGATACAATCTGTGACGTGTTTTTCTATTATATAAGTACCTCCACTCATGGTCACCGACATAATCGGTTTTACTTATTATAACTGGCCGTAGGTGTGGTCATAAGCTGGTCCGTTTCCACTATGACATGGGTCAAAAACTAATTCGATATGACTGAGGTTTATATAAATAAAAATGAAGGTATAATTTTATCGTATAAAATGAAAATACATAGAAATGTTAATTGGTTTTTGAGATATTTTTAATGACAATATCAAGATAATAATGAAATGGTTTACATTTGGATATTACGGATTAAGGTCATAAAGTAAATATATACAATATCATAAAATAATTATAACACTATGATAATGAAATTGTTATAACATGATAATATATAATATGTAGATATTCCACCTTCGTATCAGTTAGAGGCTACACTCCATTCAATATTGTCCTAAAAGATATTCATGTCTATCAGCCGGAAGACTTTACGCTGTATATACATCAACATAACCCTGGGCCTGGGATCAGGTGTCAGGAGATAACAAACAGCAGCAAACCAAGGATTGGTCAGATACAAGTCGATTGGCAACAGACAAGATCAAAAGTAGAATGGAGTTTAATGTCTTATTATTAGGCGATTCATTGAAGAAGGGAATAAAACGAAATAGCCTATCGGCCAATGTTTTTTTTTTCTACGGATAGTATATCTCAAAGGAAATGGCAAGATTCTGAAAAAACAAAACAAAGATGGATTATGTGTAAAACAGGATATGATAATTAACGAATTAAGAGCAATTACGTGTTGTATAGTTTGATAGCTAACAATTCGGAAAAAATGACCAAAAACGAAGACCATTTTGGCTCTATTAGTGTAAATAGACGGAAACCTATTAATAACTAGTTTCTTAATCGTGTGGCGCTTTCTGGAACTGATACTAAAGAGGGATGGGTTGTGGAGTAAACAGTGGGATGAGTTGGGATGGTGGTAGTTGGTTTGTAAGCTGCTGCTAAAAAGGCGAGACGATCGCGTCACGTTTGTCACATTCATCATTTGTATCTACCTAATTATGATTTTTGTAGCGGTGTTATTCACCTATGATTATTTGAAGTCAACAATGTACCAGAATATCCAATATAATAAGACAGAAGACCAAATCGTTGTATCATATGTGTACAAAGTTAAATAGGATTTTGAATTGATATTTGTAGTTACAATAACATAGAAAATGTACGCGTAATGCTTCTGTTTACCATATCATCTTCGTCAAACAAATGAACAGACGAAGCGTTTTTGGACGAGATAAAATCAGAGGAATAGATTATTTATATATAATAATAACAGGAAGTCTATGATCTTCCATACATTTATAATATATATTACAGTGTAGTTTACAACCTGGTCATAAATGTGCGAGTGATTATTGGCCCCCTCGTCTCGCCCCTGTCTGATGATTGAGACAGTGCAGTCATTGTAACGGCACATATAAATTTTCTTGCTGGTTAAGTTAAACTCTGTAGGAACATCTATTCAATAAACATAACCATTATGAAGGAAATATACTGAAATGTGTTAGGAGTGTGTAGTGTTTTTTTTAATCATTGTTTTATCGAAATGATATCGACTCCAAACTGTTATGGAAAATATATATTTTTATACACTTTCTGAAAATACCGTAGCTTTTATTTGGTTTGATAAGAACACAAAGCCACATGTAGTGCGTGTTGGGTATTGCATGTTGAGTAGTTTATGTATCACACACTGATCACGCTGTCAATAGGCATTCATTATTACAAATACTGTATACATTGCATTAATGTCACCCTGTCTATGCCACAGATCCAACCGTTGATCTGAAGTATATACTACTTCTGTTGTGTTTTAAAGGTCGTCTCCAGACGCAACATGCACACAAACAAATTTTCGGTGTATATGTATATCAATAAAAACGTCCAATGGTTTAAGTGTGACCTTTATTAATTGCAGGTCTCTTATAAAAAAAGTTTGTACTGGGATAGTCAACGAGTTAAATCTGGATTTGCTATCGTTAGATATTGAACAGAGCAGAGCAGATAGTAATAGGTTTTAACCCTAAAAGTCCCGAGGTCTTACCTAAATTACATCCATATATGTATTCTTTTTTATCATAAATTATAATATATAGCATGATTGGTATTCAAACTTACCTTATGATTATTCAGAACAAAATTCATCAAGTATAAGGGTATAAAGTACAACGTTTCAAATAACGAGAATACATTTAAGTAATCATAGTAATCTAGATGTGATTACATACCATGTCACTTGCCAACGCTTTTCCGATGATTATAAACTGTGTTCATCAACAATGTGATCATGGAAAATAATTGGCAAATTATTATTTATTTATCATGATGTGTTCATTTATATTTTATTATTTTACAGTGTACATGTACTTTGAATTACCGTATCAAGCACTATGTGACATGTACTCAAGCATGAAACAGCATATCTCATATAATTAAACAAACACAAAATCGTTATAACGATGCCAAATATTGTGTTTGTGATTCATTCATGGAAGGAAGGTTTCTAATTAACACAGGACCGTGTCTTATTTTATGAATGGACTCCCTCGTTTGATAACGTAGATCTGTTCTGATACAGATTAATCACAGCGATGAAATAGACATGCATAGACTATCCCTATTTTGACTGGAGCAATCCGTCTCAGGTGCGTCAGGGGATTAGCCGTTGCTTATTCTTCTGTACTTCCTGTGAGCTGTGAGCTTTTAGTAGCTTCAACTAGGCTACTAGCACGTCGCTAGGGAGTCTGCTGATCTTCATGATACTCGCAGCTCAAACAAAACCTCTAGATAGGCTGTTTTTACCGTGAAACCCATACATTTATACACTTGCTACTTGTTTCGCAGAATGCATCAAAGATGTTGTCTTCTAAAATTACATATAGATCTGAGATCATACAATAGAAAACCGATTAACTAAATACTCTTGTCTAAAAGCCAAGCACATAACCATGATGTGCGTCATTATATACGTCCCACATGGGGCACCTCACACTTAGACCAGTTCAATCGGTTTATTTCTAACTAAACTCAGCTTTAACAACAATATGACATGCAGAGCACAGGAAGGTTTATTACAACAGCAGATGCGAACAATTATATTTTTTTTTGTTCTGACATAGAGCTACTACATCGTGTGTTTCGATATTTAAAACAATTTTCGTAAACTTGATTCTTTAGTTCCAAACTAGTAATAGAAGACATTCACAACCTTTATGGTATTTTCCTGTGTTAAATTGTATTTGAATATTTGGAATTTTCTCTTGTAATTTCTGATTTACAAAGGGCCAAAAACAGTCATGATTTTTGTGTGTGTTCTCTTTCAATTGTTCACAGTTACTGTGATTACGATGAACATTCTCATTATGCCATTGCCCTTCGTGAAATATTGAATTACATACTTTTCTAAAGAAAACAAGACCTACACAAATAGATAGGATATACATCAATAGATTAAGTCTTTTTATGGCTATGAATTTATATATAAGCAAGAATTCATGAATGACTGTTGATAGTTTATCAAGAAAGATAACTCTTAAATTATAGAAGTCATGGTGTGTTGAGATAAATAGGCTAACTGTTAATTCATGCGATGAAAATACAAATACCACAACTACCGTGTTAATAGGGAACTCTCAAATGAATCTTCAATACAGCACATATATGTATACTGATATTGGAAAGCCTTTCTTTTATAATGAAATTATTATCATCACATACATGAACAAAAAACTGTATTTTCTATTTTAAGAGGAGACACTTAGGAACAGCATACATTTAATGTTAAAGCGATTGTAAAATAATATTTTATCAATTTTCTGTGCAGAAACAAATTTAAATGCCTATTGTTGCAAACAGTAGATATATGATAAGGCAATATTTGTTTGGAGGAAGAATTAAGGTAAACAAACTTTGAGCTTATTTTCCCATCCCATATATAATGAATATATATGTGTGTCATATCAATGAATTAATGAATATGATATTGGTCAGATTAAATCAAGATCATCGTCTCGTCAAATATATCATAATCAATTGAATCACCAAAATTAAGAATCATTTTTTTAAAAAAATGCACCACTAACTGATGAAAGGAATATAGAACCGCTAGTCACGCTCTATATTTTGATACAGGAATTATTTTACCCTGCACTTAAAAAAAGATAACAAAGTTTCCTGTTTGGCATATACATGTGTTTATGATATATCATTGCAGTGCCAGATTTTATCAAAGTGAAATCCTACGTTTCCAAGGAAACAAACGGTTGGATCTATCTGTGGCATCACGCGGAAAAAGAGCAGAAAGAGGAGCCTGACTGGGAGATCCCAAATCTAGAAGATGTTAACAATGGCAACTGGACGTACCGTGGACGAACGGAGCACCACATCAATGCACACATTGAGGTAAACCATACGTCAAGACGTGTGACCTTGTGGATATTTCTCTTCGTGGTAGCTTTTAATAACAATGGCCGTTTTGGTTAGCAGTTTTAGTACTAAATTCATGAGAAAAATTCGATCCTTTTTAACTAGATTTAAGTTTATTTTATATCGACAATACAGGTACATTAATTGTATGTGTACATTTTACTCTCACGGAATCCTTTATTTATTGTTATATTGGATTTTCTGTTTGTTTCAGGAAATTCCCGAGAATGGTGCTGATGTGTCGCATTTAGCCCAAGTACATGGTCCTATGCTTACTGCTGGCGTGGATCTGAAGGAGATGTGGAATACGTTCTGGTCGTTTGGACATCACAAATGGACCGCGGCATGGGAACAGAACCAAGCCCCCGAGAAACATATTGGAACCCTACACCTCACACACAGCCTTAATCTGTTCGGCAAACATTTGTCAATCATAGATATGGACGTGAGAGCACGACAGGTTTGTTAATATATTAACTCAGATCAGCTCAATATTACATCCTACATCCTGAATACGGCATTTTATCTATGTGCGTAATAAATGTGAAATATGTAGTATGTGATTAAAAGCTTGTGACTTGTTATTACATGATAAGGATTTATATTTATGACGCTTCGTATATTCATATCAAGCTGTTAACTCTCATAGTGACAACACGTATTAAATGCACACCACAAATGGAATATGATGGTAATTTTGAACCTTCAAAAATGATGTTTGAAATACAATTCACACCTTTGAGGTTGTTTGAAAATTGTTTGAAGTAAAATCATATTCCTCGTTAAAAGCTTATAATAGGAGATAATTTCTCACGATAACATGTATATGTTTTGATAGTAATGACAATTACCGCTTCTTTTTTATCCCTATGACACTACTCTGGTATCCATGAGACACTTCTCCGGTGTCGTATCCCTATGACACTACTCTGGTATCCATGAGACACTTCTCCGGTGTCGTATCCCTATGACACTACTCTGGTATCCATGAGACACTTCTCCGGTGTCGTATCCATATGACACTTCTCTGGTATCCATGAGACACTTCTCCGGTGTCGTATCCCTATGACACTACTCTGGTATCCATGAGACACTTCTCCGGTGTCGTATCCCTATGACACTACTCTGGTATCCATGAGACACTTCTCCGGTGTCGTATCCATATGACACTTCTCTGGTATCCATATGACACTTCTCCGGTGTCGTATCCCTATGACACTACTCTGGTATCCATGAGACACTTCTCCGGTGTCGTATCCATATGACACTTCTCTGGTATCCATATGACACTTCTCCGGTGTCGTATCCATGAGACACTTCTCCGGTGTCGTATCCATGAGACACATCTCCGGTGTCGTATCCATGAGACACTTCTCCGGTGTCGTATCCATGAGACACTTCTCCGGTGTCGTATCCATGAGACACTTCTCCGGTGTCGTATCCATGAGACACTTCTCCGGTGTCGTATCCATATATCCATGAGACACTTCTCCGTGTCGTGTCGTATGGTATCCATGAGACATGGTATCCATATGACACTTCTCCGGTGTCGTACTTCTCTCCGGTGTCGTATCCATATGACACTTCTCTGGTATCCATATGACACTTCTCCGGTGTCGTATCCATATGACACTACTCTGGTATCCATGAGACACTTCTCCGGTGTCGTATCCATATGACACTTCTCTGGTATCCATCCCAAGGACACTAGACTGATATCAATCTTAAGCTACACCGTAGGCGTATCCAAAGGACGCTTCTCCGGTGTCGTATCCATATGACACTTCTCTGGTATCCATATGACACTTCTCCGGTGTCGTATCCCTATGACACTACTCTGGTATCCATGAGACACTTCTCCGGTGTCGTATCCATATGACACTACTCTGGTATCCATGAGACACTTCTCCGGTGTCGTATCCATATGACACTTCTCTGGTATCCATGAGACACTTCTCCGGTGTCGTATCCATATGACACTACTCTGGTATCCATGAGACACTTCTCCGGTGTCGTATCCCTATGACACTACTCTGGTATCCATGAGACACTTCTCCGGTGTCGTATCCATATGACACTTCTCTGGTATCCATGAGACACTTCTCCGGTGTCGTATCCATATGACACTTCTCTGGTATCCATGAGACACTTCTCCGGTGTCGTATCCATATGACACTTCTCTGGTATACCTATGACATTTTTCTGGTATTCATATGACACTTTCTCAACTATACCTGTGACACTTCTCTGGTATTTTATCCTTCCATACGACACTTCTCTGGTATACCTATGACACTGATCTGGTTTCCCTGATATACATCCCTTGTAGCCATTTGACATACTCTGGTAAATATGTAAACTGAGTGATACTGAAAAAAATCATTTCCAGTTATTTTGATAAACGTGAGGGTTTCTGATGTCCAGATACGAGGGCCTTTGTATAATGACTTTAAGCATTAGAGTCCTTAACAAGAAGTCATTATAAGACAAAGCTGAGTCAAGAAACAGACTACTTAAAGTAAATCAATTTTGTGCATGTTGCCGTAAAGATAAAAGACATAGTAAGGTACACTGTATTTTCAAGTCAAAATGTATAACTTAGAAACCCTTCTTGTCAATAATTTTAATTTAAGCGACATAAAACCAGTTAAGAAGCATTACGTACTGATAAACATCTTACCTTTGTTTCTTACATTTTGTATTTCAGATTGGTCCGGCAATTGTTTATTTAGAATTTGACTCGCCTTTTGGAAAAGGTGTTTTTATCCAGTCGCTCACGCCTGTTGAACCAATGGTGCAGAAATTAGTTCACAATATCTATATGGAGAAAAAAGTACCGACAGTTATTGCCAAATTTTTCATGCTTGGAGAGGCACTCCAGGTAAGAGAAACAACTGATAAATCTGGACTGTGTAATTATGTGCAGTGTCTTCTGTCTTTTTTACGTTAGATAATAATAACAAAACCACGAAGCGCAGAGTGACAAATACTCCATAATGTACATACTTTGTATACATATTTCAATATTAGTGATACTAGTACACTGAAGTATTTAAATATATCGTTTATGGTAAATAGTATATACATGTTACTGATTTTGGATGATTATGAAGTTTTCTTGCATCGTTTTTTTTAAAACTACAACTGATTATAATCTTTCAGGTTGAACGAGACGTGATGATCTGGAACAATAAGACGTATGCGGGCAAGCCCACTTTTGTTAAATCGAAGGAGGATGCTTTAATTGCCAAACATAGGCGGTGGTATTCACAGTTTTACTCAGAACACAGTCCAAAACTAACATTTCAAAAAGAATCTCTCGAGTGGTGAGTTGCTGTACGATATAGATACTAAAAGAGGAGTTGCTCAAAGAATATTTTTAGGACCGTTCGAATTGGTGTAAGACTGGGGCTGTGTACAAGAGAAATGACGCGAACACGTTTATAGCACATGGTCCAAAGGATTACGGCGATTGTGATGGTAGAAAGTACCAAGACATGGTTAGAGAACATGTTTTGACATAAAAGGTTCTGTTCTAAAATATCATCCTTACCAATGGAGGATTATGGAACGCATCAAGGAAATTAATTCAGACACACAGTGATGATCAGCAATCAACAACAAGTGTAATAATGACATAATTTCAGTGTCAATCTTACGTCAACAATTGTCGAAGACACCGGTGTCAATATAGGAGAAAAAGGTGAATCAGAGACGATCCAAAGATTACTTGGCTAGCGAATTGTGATGTGTTGAATATGTACGGGATATGATCTATTGTATAACTGAGCGACAATGGAAGCATAATCGTACAATGTGATATATAAACACTGAAGACATAGTTATCATATATACCCATATATAATTATTTATTTATTCAATTACACGTTTGTAAGTTATCAAGATAGCGTCAATAGAACACACGTGTAGATTTATTAGTATTACAGAGAATAGAATCTACATAATGAACACCTATTTGAACACGGAATATTGTTACTATAGATTTGATATCGGCTTTTACATTTCCATTGCACGGTGTCAAAGCATGTGACAATGCAAACTTGTTATGAGAATACTTTCCGCACAAATTGTTATTGATTGGAAGACCAGTATGTTTTCACATCAAATGAAAATTTTGATTTGAATTGAAGAGCACATTCTTTTATTTTATGTAACCCGGTTGTTTATGCACCGTGCACCTTGTTAATAGCATACATTCCTATCCTGAAATGAATCCAATGTTCGCATTTAATGTTTTTACGGCAGTTGGTACAGAATATAATATAAATAGTGCATTTCGAACGTTTATTGTAAAATAATGCCCGAGTGGTCTCCTACATATAGCGCCAAGAATGCAATTTAGAAGTGTACACTGGAAAACAAAAATGATAAACAAAACTCATTTCCGCAAAAAATATTTTAATATTTCCTTGTTTTGTAAAGCCTGGATTCAGTTTCAATACATTGTGATCTGCAGTGTTAAATAATCAAGTTTTTACTTGATCCTATCTGTTCTAAGTATTTAACAAATATTATTAATATTGACTGAAGCCGAGTATTCTATGGGAAACAAAATAAAACCAATATGATTGGTATTTGGCTATATATATATGAGTGTGTATCCAGCGATATATGATTCGTTCCATCTTACCTTATATTAAGACAAGTGCTGTTTATGACAACTGTCAATCTTCATTGTATCAATTTCTACAGCTATTTTTTACATTAAGGCGACTACTGTTGAGGACTTAATGTTCGACGACAAATGATTCTTTCACACCATGTTAGATACATTTGATCACATACTGGTATCTCTGATCATGCTAAAAAAACATGGTTACACTTGGAATATGAATATTCTTCACTTTACCCTCAGCATTTATAAAATTGTTAGTGAACACCTTCTTAAATATCGATACTTAACTTATTAAAGATGAATGGGAGTTTTGATATCAAAGCTATTGTGTGCAAGTTTAATGTGAAGCAATGGATACCCATTACAACAAATCAATATATTAGCATTTAAAACCTTACCAGCTCCCTGCCACTCTGTATTAACCACTTTGTATTCATTGTCTGTCATTGTCACAAAATGCAAGTGTCATCCTTGTACCTCCCTCCCCCTTTTTAATGTCTTCTCTATTCACTTGCCTGTGTATGATAAACCCCTCGTCTTTCAGTTGATGTTAAAATACTATTTTTATACTACTAGAAAAAATATCTTGTTTCCCCCTACAGTATTAATTAATACACCATATCAGGGACGTGTAATATAGATTAAATTTGTATAATACGTCCGTGACCATATATGTAACCTGTTCTGACACCACATCATCACGTATGATACTTGTACCTTTACACATATACGTCCATCACTGACTATAGGGCGCCTCCTGGTGGCATGCATTGATTTATATATGTTGTATCTTAATATGAATGTTCTCATTTATTACGTGTTTGATGTTTCCTACTTTCTTATCACTGAAAATAATCAGTTCCCTGAAAATCACGTTTTAGATTTGAAGAAATTTTTTGTAATTTGTTTTATTTTGTATTGGGAAAAGCATTGCTTGTCAGTAAAGTAAGAGTTACTTAATAATTACAACAATAGATAATTATCATCGCAAACAAGGAAGTGTTTGTCATGATAACGGTTCGCTCGATAGCCTATTTATAGATTGATTTTAATTTTGGATCTATAAATCGGCCAATCAGATTAATACAAAAAAAATCCCGTGAATTAAATTTGAGGATTATCGTACATACATAATCATACAAATATTGATTTTATTTTCATCGTAAGTATGGTGACACGTACAGTGTAAAAGTAAAAATATACTGAACTATTTGTGCAAGATAAAGATATATTGATAATTTGATAAATAACCACCATGTTTGTAGAAAATGTAAGCCGTGTGTGTGTTTGTATTATTGATCGAAGCTTTCTTGTAATTCCCCATATTTTTCGAGAAAATCATGTTGCTTATGAAGCAAAATGTTCAGTCAATATACATTGTTTTTAAGTGATTAGTAATCCCATGTTTCCTCTGACGTTCACACCAGATGTCACACACTTTGTCAGATATATCGGTATGTCTATTGTGGAAGTATATGGAGTATGAAGTATAGGAGCTCGGGCTAGCGATTGACAAACGTTTGAATGAATATTAAGCAGATATATAATGTTTCCCAAAGTGCCGAGCATAATTAATTCTGACATTTTATTCTATAATTCTGACTTTGCATTCCATGCAGTTTTACATATATTACAAAGAGCGTTTGAATCTGTATTGCACATTTCTTATGTTTTATGTTAGTTTTGTAAAAAAAAAATAAGATTATGTTTGAACTTTCTCAGAATGTTACATGGCAAATTTCCTTTCTCTAATAGGCTTGATATACATACGAACGGCTAACCCCTATTTATATCAACACTTTTTGTTTATGTTTTGCTTTAAATATATATACGGTAACGAATGTTGAGTTTGTAGTTTAGAATGTAAATATATGTTAGGCGTTTTACTTCTACTGCCCTTCTGTTATTAGACACAATAAATAAACTGTATCAATATAATCAGAGCTTGTCTATACCTTTTAGAAACAACAGTGTATTGAGCTTGACAAACGTTACCATGGATATACCATAGTGTTTACAATCTATACATAGAGTTTGTTCATAGATTTACAGTCATAATGTTCCAAATGTGTCATTTGACTTACTTTACGTTACAATAGAATATTTTGAGTACAATATCACACTTTTGTTTGTTTGTGTGTTAATCTCGTTTATTTCTAGTTATCTGGCCTTCTTTAAATAAAGGGTTACATTAACAATCATAATGTTGTTCATTTTTATTTTCTAGATTCACGTCCATTCATTTCTTATAAAATACACACAATTCAATGGTATTGTGAATACGGCGTACATATAATGTACACACACACCACATACACACACACACGCACACCACATACACACACACACCATCACACACACACACCAAATACACACACACACACACACACACACACCATCACACACACACCAAATACACACACACCATCACACACACACACACACACACCCACACACACACACCTACACACCATCACACACACACCATCACACACACACCACGTACACACACACCATCACACACACACACCATCACACACACACACACACACACACACACACACACACACACACACACACACACACACACACACACGCATACACATATATATAGATATATACTAAGGGATACAGAAACGCAACTTCTTCAATTGTCAAATATTTTAAATTGAATCTACATAGTCTTATGAAAAGGAAGAGGAATATTAGAGCACCTTTCTAAATCATCCAATAAAGTTAAACCCTTGTCATCGGTGACAAAAAACTTATCCACATCCGGTGCGACTTTTATTACCAATATACCGTGATTGTACAAATACACGCGTTCTTTTCCATTCAAACTAGTAGTGTCAATATCTGACTATCACCAAGACGCGTGATGATCGATACATTAGCAGTCAAGAATTGTTTTACAAATATGCAACGGCTAGTCCAACTTGATAAAGGGCGGACTCTCAAAATGTTCATGGGGGTAGTACTCAACAGCAGGTCGCTACTCACTTCGGAGTAAACAAATCGACTATAAGCCAGTCGGTTAGTTTTAAGTCTCAGCGCCGAGATTCGGACGTCCGCGTGTAACGTCGGAACGCCAAGACCGGAACAATGAGTGTGTCCACTTGCTTGAGAGATAATGAACGGCGTGAAATATCATTGGAAACCGTCGAATCCACCCAGGACTGTGAGGAATAGACTGCGAGAGGCAAACCTACGCCCACAAGTCGCATGTACGTTGGTTTGCCAACGACACCTAAAGGTCGAGTACGTCGCATGCGAAGGTTGACGGCACATGTGTCCAGACGTTTCCCTGTGAGATTTGGAGGTCAATGCAATTCACGGATGAATCTCGATTCACGTTATTTCGATTAGAGTTCGGAACCCAGAAAACATCACAAATAGCATCCACCAGCTGGCCAATACACTTCACAATTCACATTCCTCTGCGGACTGTCATGTCCGGATGAACTTCATGCCACGCAGTATTAGAAACGCTACAGCTGCCGCTATTTCAGTTTTGTGTCCATTCGGATACATTAATATATGGCGGCCTCTTGAAGTCCTAAGTCTCGGAAAATTTGAAGACGTATGATCCAGTATTCGAAGTTAATTTTTGCAATCACATTTAGGCATATTGCTCATTGAGGATATTTTATCAAACCGGAAAGTTGAAGTTGTAATTCTTTTTCATCACAGTGGTACCGTTTCTGCAGATATCTTACCGAAAACTAAATATATAATGTCATTTCATAATTCGATACAGAAGAATCTATCAATATATTTCCTATCAGTAGTGTTCACCAAACATTCTACATTCATACGAGGATTAACTTGGGTTTCGTGCTTATGAAAACTGGTTACAAAAACCTGGCCAATTCTTCATTTTTTCCTTTGTTATGTTGATGATTTCAAGTAAATAAATAACAAGAAATTTACTGATCAGGTCCATCTGATATACCAGTCTGAACTGTAACTAAAAGATAAGACAAACTCTTCTACATAAGCTGTTTACCTTGATCTTGAGAGGGACAGCTCTATAACAAGCTGTATTATAAGCGTGATAATTTCGACTTTCCTACAGAGAATTTTCCATTTCTCGATAGCAACATTCCATGCATCTATAACCTTTTTATGATATGAGGTGATAGACATAAACAGTATTCCGTAAGATGGAAGCTAACAATTTAAGATTAAATACAGCAGAGGTTATAGCCACCAAACAAGGTAGATAACTATGAATAAAGGCGCCTCTTTAACATATTCATTGACAGAAAAGTGGAATCTGACTGAGGGATGAGGTTGCAGAGAAGCAATCCCATACATATGTAAACTCGGAGGCGCTGAATGTTGGAGAATCTCTATAACAAACCCAACAAAGAGACGTCCAGACACCATTAATAAAAGGAAATATCTCAACAACACCTTACAGCCGACAACGAAATCGTGCAAGACTTGACCAATTTGAGATCTATACCACCTGCAAAATCTTTTATTCTCAAACTGTATCTGGATTCCACTTCATTGCTTAATGCGGCAGACTGGAGGATGTCGGAAACTCATATACATCATCGAAGCAACAAAACACGCCTTAATGGAAGTTCAAGAGAGCTTTGTCCTTCTCATGATGGATTGTTTTCGTTATTGCTCTGAATAGTACATGCAGAGCAATTGTAGAGACAATAGACAGGATCGAACTCTGCTCTAGCGAGTTTATTTCCAATTTACATCCAAAAGAATCTGGGACTTATCTACAATCAATATAAGGGAAACGTGTGCAATACATTCCATGTGCAGCAGTGTGTAATATATCTTCTAAGATCTCATCAACCTAACGACTTAATCAAGGACCTACTTGGTTGTTCCGTGATATAATCGGAGGAATCTGTTAATTGAACTCAACTGAATGAGAAGGGGTAAACAACAGAATTTTATGAAAACTTTGAGATAAAGTTAATAGATGATGAAAGTGTAATGTTCTGGAATACATTTTTTCTTAAGTGACGACAGTGCTTATGGAGCATGTCTGTCAATCTCTACAGATACTCAGTACGATATGCAATTATAAATGGATGCCATATATTAACATATGCGCATGTGTACTAGGCACTGGTGGGAGCCGCCATTTTGATATAAGGTTGCAGATTCATCAGAATTGACAACTGCACTTAACATAAAACTCTTTCACGACCATAAAAACAAATGGTATATCACTTGAAAGTTTCTTTAATAGGACCAGTGTAAATGTTTGGCATTATACACGTTTAAAGGAATACCTGAAATGTCAGGTAAAAAATGGGGGCAAATATATGACTTTTGAAAATTTGCAGGATTGAACGAATTTTTCATGGCCTGAAAGCGGAACATTTCTAATTCATTTTCATTGAAAACGACGCTCACTAGTGGCGCTAATGTTCTGAAGTCTTCCTTTTTAGTGCAACCACAGTAATAGTAATCTGTTGTCTAACCAACGATCATTAATGTTCATTTTAAAACATGTTTTCCTTTGTGAGAGTTACAACCCTTGTCATTATGTGGACTACGGGTTGTAAATCTGTGTCTAGTTCCGGTGGTTTTACCTATAATGTATAGCAAAAGAGAATACAAATGGAAATCATGATTTATCCCTGTGTATGGCATTTGTTCCAGTTCTCAACATCAGCATATCTGCACAGTAATCAAAGTTTAAAAACAAAGTAATCAGTGGTTTCAAAGATTTTAATTTCTAATGAATCATGTTTGTAAAATGCCATATAGCTTTTAGCAATTAGCTTTTCGAAATTTTTTTCTTCAAACCCACTGGATGTAATATAGTAGAATGTTAGTCAGGTAATAACCTTGTAAAATAATAACTAATATAACCACATCAGAACATGACCTTGGTATTATCATTATACAACTATGTATGTACCAAATTACAGTTCCATTTCTGTATCCGTTTACAGGTAAATGAGGGGAAACGAAATCATGACAGAATGATAGAGTGTAATACTACATGTCCCAAACCAGGAAATTAAAAAAGTTTCCGTGTTATCAAAAAGTCAAATACAACTGTTTGCTAATTATACATCCATTGGTGTATGATGAAACACAGGAGTTTGATTGTGGGCTCTAACTAGAAGAAAAGGAACTGATTAAATTATTTGTTATTTTTAGATTTAATTTTCCAATACTAAATATCAGACCCCCACCCCTCCCCCCACCCTTCAAAACAAAAAATCCATGTTCTAAGAACCATAACTCTGAAACAAAATATAAACACGGAACAAGACACATGCATAACGTTTTATCTATAGGTATATAAAAAACATAACACTGAGAACAGACAATATTATAAAAATTCCAAATCCAAAGACTGTAAAAATGCTATTACAAACATACCATACTTCAATGCATTATATTAGCACGCAAAGGGAAAAAATAATGGAAATCTGGAGTTTTGTAAAATTCAAATGTCAAAAGTAGGGAATAAGGAACTGAAGCTAATATTTAACTTATCAAAGCTCACATCTGTCAATTCAACTCATTAAGTACACATGGTATAACAGACGGAAAGGAAACCTTTTGTTTCTCCCAGTCTCATTAGGATGGGACTTGAGAATCTTTTTTCAGTTATCCATCAGTAAAAACTAAAACAGTCTGTTTCATATCTTAACATTTACCAACAATAAGGCAATGACACCTTGGCGTATTTTAGCAACATTCAAACACAAAAATGGTATCAGAGATTTATCAATTGTGGCACATGTGCTTGACATATAACCCATAGTTATACTTTTGCATGATGCCATATGGTGAAATTCTACAGTCAGCAGTACTGGAATGTCTCTTAAAAGAGCTGTAAAGATATCTGAATTTGAAAGTAATATATGTCTAGCAGATTTATTTGTGATGCTATGATGAGGTATATGTAAAATAAACAGAAGTGTCAACTGAAGTAAAACCAAGATGACAACGGAATAACAAGGATGTCGTCAAGAGATTCATACAAATAATCACCAGATATTTTAATTCATGATTGGTTCTCTTAATGTATTAAGGCAAAAATAAATATCACACAAAATACACGTGATTTTCAATATATTGAGCCATATGCTACATGAATATGCTTTCTTTCTTATATCAAACTCATTGTTGTACAAAATGAGGCAAGTAACAAAACAGAATTTTCATGTTTGTTTATTTTCTGTCTAACATTCTCTAATGATATCAGGGATCAAACAATGTGAGGTCTTCCATGGTCCTTGACAAATCTAAATCAGTGTCTCTTCTTTTCAATTTATTTTCTAGATATTTACAGTTTGAAGTCGCTGTATCTAATATGTCTCTCTTTTTGTCACAGCATAGTGCATAGACAACAGTGAGAGACATGTCCTCACAGTTTGTTGAGTAAATCTTAGGAAAATGTCTGTAAAGTTGATGTAACAATGTTTTCTTCTTTTCCTCTTCAGCACACTGACATTTGCATATTAAGACACCTGAAATAAAATTAAAACAATATCATTAGCAGTCTGATTACTATATCATACTGATGATTTTTAGTGAGGTGAATTCTATTAATTATACACTGTATATAACGAGGTTCACAATGAAGTGCTACTGTCCCCACTAAACACATACTGGAAATATGTATACATGGACACTTGACATAAACACTTTATCATATACTGTATGAACAATAGATTTATCACATACCAAAGTTGTTAAAAGTTTTAGATAAATGAAGCAAGAATTCATAAATAGTACTATCAAAAATCTTTAATTCCTTTCCTACAATATCACAGGTTGTGGAAAGTTCACCAGAAAGAAATCTAACAAAAGTTCCTGATACATACCATTTGGTGATAGCAACTTTTTAACATCTGATAAAAACGATTCCTGAAGGAAACTCTCCATTGTAAGTGATGACTTGAGATAATCAAGATCTATAACAACAGCATCAAGTAATAACCCTGAAAAGAAAACATTTGACAACAATTACAAGACTTGTCAATACAAAAGGCACTTTATAAATTTATAACAAAAAATCTGTATTGTAACAACATTATCAGTAAATGTGGATGATCTCTTATGAGGGGGGGATTTTCATATTTGATCAAAAAGGTACATTAAGCCTTGTAACTGCCCGAATAGGCATAAATGTGATGAATAATGTAACGGAAAGAGAAACCTTCTATTTTTTCTGATAGATAATTTCAATGAGTCATACCCAAATGCTTAACATCAGAAAAATATCCATAGTATCTGCATGGTAAAATGTCATCTCAATGTTCAAGGTATCTTTATGGTTACATCACACGTTAATCAGTAATTCAGTCATTATTCTTTTAATTTACCAGTACATTTCCCAGCTTTAAACAAAATATTATTTGAGAGATAAATGGTTAACACATGATCTATATGTAGACAAAGTGACTCTCAATGCTGGTTTCCCAGTTGTCATTAGTCATATATTTTTTAGATTGAGAAAAAGCCCTGAACCAAAATAGGTTCTCCAGCATGGTCAAAGGGCAAACCTCTTTCTCTTCAAATGTATAGTATAGAGCACAACATAAATCATAACTAAGGCTATCATATATTTGTCATTTGTTTTGATATTGTTTTTATATTTGTTGATATTGTGACTTAAAGAAATGAGAGTTATCCCCCTTAGAGAAAGGACATGCTGTGAAATTTTTAAAGTAAAAATTCCCCAAATCAGGCCTTACCTATGTTTATGTATAGAGTAAAATATACAAATAGCAATATGGATTACAAATAAACAAGCTAAGAAGATGAATGATGTACCTTGCCCTTCACTACTGCTGACAAATTTGGCAGGGTTATCACTATAACCTTGCATGTTGCTATCCGGTGAAAAGTCAAACCAGTCTGTGGCTACCTGCTGAATTACTGAATCAGGAAACACTACTGTCAGCTCCATCTGTAATGATCAACATCCCAACATAAATCAACTATCACATGTACCACAATATAAGGAAAATGATTATAACTGAGGTAAAGTATCACAAAAAATTTGAAGCCTTCAATCTACACACCAACATTAACAAGAAACTCCAACTAAACCTTACCTGATCATGCATATCTACAAGATGTTTAATTTGTAGTTTACAGCTTGCAATGCTATCATCTTATTACATTAACAAAATAGGAAATAACCATCATGTTATTATAAAAATATGTACAAATTTGCGAATTGCAAGTCGGTTTTAAAGACTCCGTTATACAAACAGTTTCAGTAGGTTGAACTGTAAGTGTGGGAAGTTGTGAGGTATAACGTTTTTTTCAGTAGGTTGAACTGTAAGTGTGGGAAGTTGTGAGGTATAACAATTTTTTCAGCAGGCTGTACTGTAAGTATAGGAAGTTGTGGGGTTCACTGTTTCTTTTTCAGTAGGTTGTATATTGTATTGGCAGGAAGCTTTGGGGTATACAACTACAGTGGTTACACTGTACCTTTGAGAACTTGTGAGGCATATAATTACAGAAGTTACCTGTGGAAAGTTGTGATGTAACAATGTAGGAAGTCCTCCATTCCTTCCCTCTATCACTAAAACTTTGGAATCTGATAAATTGCACTCTAAAAGAAGAAAAAAACAGAAATGGTTCAATTTTTGAAATATATTGGTCTTAATTCACAAAAGTAAGAACCCAGGAACACTTTATTATGCAGTCACAGGAATGCAGACTTATGATACAAGATCTTAGACTATTTTCAGTTCATATAAAATTGGTTAACGAGTCTTAGAAATTTTTACTTTGAACTCTCTGGTGTAGTAGAAAATCTCAGTTGAACTGGAAACCAATGTAAGATTCTGGTTAGAGTAACATAAAACACTTCTACAAACATATGTGATAAAAAGATTAATTCTTAGATTTGATATCACATCCTTCATCAGCCCTTTACCAGATATCAAATTTCAACACTTCTGCCTCATTGGACTGTAATCTTGGTCTCAAACTGAGTAAGTGTATGACAGCAATATGCTCTAAATATTCAGTATTGTAAATAAGTGTTTAACTACATGTTAAATTTAGATATTCAAGGTCATCCATTACATAGCTTATATTGTACCTCTGAAAAAGACCTGTTACAATATAACCATTGTAGCATGGTATTCATTCAAGATATCAATAAAACAAACTATAGATAACTTACCTTTAGCCTGATCAGTCTGCCCCGTTACAAATGACAGACCGGCCACCATGGTTGTCAGATAATCACCGTCCAAATATGATTTGTCCAAAATTAATTTTTCAGTCTCTTTTGTTTTGTGCTTTCCTTTTTTCTGCTTCTTCTCTTTAATTAAAAACAAAAAAAACAAATATATCATGATTTTATAAAGATTTTAAGCTTGCCTGCTCAAATAACATTAACGAAAGGGTTAAAGGGATTGAGTGCACAACAGATGCACCTCAATACATATTAATTGTTTGAAGGGAATTTGCTGGGAGAGCTCTTGTCTACTCAACACATCTGAATGTTTTACAATAACATCAGTAATAATATCTTAAGAAATGGTCTATGGAATAATAATGGTTATCTGATCCCTTAAGAAAACATAAAGAAAATACTTGTTAACAAAATTTTAATACGAACTTAAAATTGATGAAGTGAATATGTGAGCAAAATTAAGAATAAAATAAATACACGTATTTACACGGAGTCCCTTCAACAAGAGGCCTCATGGGACAGCATTGCTCAACGATGATATTCAATGCTTTTCACAAATACATTAATATTTCACATCATTGACATTTTCAAAACATTAGTTTTTCAAAAGAAATTGTATGAAGGATTTAACATATTTGACCTTTGTGACCTTGAGTACTGCTGGTTCCTGGCTCACACCCAGAAACAAACTAGCAAATTATCAAGGTTCTAAGCCTCTTGGTTTATCAGTAGAAGGTGCCAGTAGGTTTTACTATAGTTTCCACAAATTTGACCCCTGTGACCTTGAATACAGGTCAACATTATTTCTTTTTGAAAACTTTTTAAGACTTCATCCAAAGAACCTACCAACTAAATATCATAATTCTAGGATTTCTGGTTGATCAGAAGAATACATTTGAATGATTTAATAAATGTGAACTTTGTGACAATGAATGTTCCTTAAAGTGATTTTTTGTAAACTGTGTTGGGCTTCATCTCAAAAACCTGTCAGCTGGATAACATGCTTCTAGATCCCTTGGTTAGTCAGAAGTTGTTATCAAAGATCCTAACAAATTTAACCATTATAACATGAAAATATGTCAAGATCATTTCTTTACACAACATTTGTCTGCCTTCATCAAAGGAACTACCATCTGAATACCATGTCTATATATATTCCTGTCAGTCATAAGAAGCTGTTTGAAACTATTTGACAAATTTGACCCCTGTGACCTTGAATATGGATAAAGTTTATTATTTTCTCAAACTTTCTAGGGTGTCATGCCTTCACCCCAAAAATCTACAATGACAATTAAATACTATGATTCTAGGCCTTAAGGGAAATAAGAAGGATTTGTCTGAATGTTTTCGTGAACTTAACCCGTTTGACCTTGAATATTGCTCTAGGTCATTTCTTACACAGATTCCTTTTCCAAGGAACCTATCATTACCTCTGAGCTAAAAAATACTAGAACAAAAAGACCAGGAGTTTCAAAAAGGCAAGCATCTTTTGTCTAACAAATAACACATATCAAGTAAATCTTTGTCAGTTCAGTAAGTAATGTCAATGAACAAACTTTACATTGAACAGAGAACTGAAAAAATGAACAATGATGTTATATCATGTACTGAAAATTACACAACAAAATAACTGCCTCTGTTTGATTTTGTTCTTCATGTTTTTACTTTAAAACCTGTCTTAATGTAGTTTTTCTGAGTTATGTTACAGAAAGTATTTAAAATTTGTTTTCATTTAAAAACATATTTCATAAAACTTGGCTCAAAGTTTTAATATTTGTTCCGAAAGACTCATGAAAATAAAACCTTCATTAAATCTCAAATGAAAAACTAATTCAAGATTCTATATGTATATTTAAACTGTATTAAATACCTCGTTGCATATTAAGGATAGCCTCACAATAAGGAAGACCTTCAGTGAACACAAGTCTCCGTCTATATTGCCCTGGATCTGTGACAATGTCCTCAACCACCAGCTCCCCCAAGGTAGGACTGTTACCTTGAAATCTGACAGTTCTGCTACCCTTCTGATCACCTAGTGACAAGAATGGCACCTGGAACAAGACGTGCTGAATATTGTTAACCAATGATAAAAATATGCTACAGAAAACAAAGTTAACACGTAACTGATAAAGTAAGCCATATATAATGTAGGATCACCCATTAAAATTATCTTCGTTTGCTGTAACCTGACCAAGAGGTGTTCAATGTGGGCAGGTTGGAACAGTTAAGATTTTTATTGATTTCTTCTCTTTCTTTTTCTTATTTCACAGTGAATGTATAGAATGCATATGGTTTTGCCATCAGACTGAGTCTAAAATACTTCGTAGAATTATTTCTGAAAGTTTTTCTTGTTTCATTCAATTGTTTATCAATGGATATAACATTCACGCTCATGAAAAAAAATACTGGTGTCAATACAAGACAGTATTGCAGAGGCTTCCTTAGAGGCAAGGGCACAGTGATGAGATGTCAAGGTTTTATCTAATATCTTATTGTGAAAAAAAATCAGATAGGTCTTGGAATAAATTGTAAGCTGAGCGAATTTGGTTGGAGCTGTTTGTTAGGAAGGAACTCCAAATTGGCTAACGAATTAACCAACCTAAGCATGGACCTGGTACAATTCAATTTCATTTAAAACCAAACTTTTCTTGCCTCTGAATGCATCACATTTGTGATATTCTCATCCAACTGTTTATAGTGAAGTGGTTAAACGGTACATCGGAGATAGTTTGTCAGTATTTCTATGTGCCTGGTCACCGTGTGTGTGCACATGATAGAGGATACCTTTGTTGCCACAAATTTACCAATATCGGAATTGTGAAATCATTCTTATCTAGATTCAATTCATTATCTTTAATTAAGCTAATTTTCAATTTTGATACACTACAACTTCAAATTAATTTCAAAGCCATGACTGTTATGCCAAATTAGTGTACTTTAGGAAAAATATTGAAATACCCAAGACTATTGTTTTATATTTTTTCATATATGTGAATCATGGTCCACACAGTATTAAAGAACAATTTCACGCATTTCAGCACCAACTTGTGCTTATCTCATTCTACTGATCATGCATGTTTCTGATTATCCAGTTCACTTACTATGCTATGGTGTCTCAGAAAAGGCTGAATGAAAATGCATCCAAAACAATTGCACTCTTTATATTTCAAATAGGAAAAAATGTAAATCCATATGGAATAACTGTGCAAAGTTATTTTCTATTATATCTAAGTATTATCCTATATGGACTTAAAAAGGCACAGATTTATCAGTTTATTATTTGTCACATTACATTATGTAGGTCAATTATGAGGCCAACATGAATCTGCTGCCAAAACATTTTAACTCACAAAGGCTCCAAAGTTATGGAGCAAGCCTTTCTCCTTTTGACAGACACAGACATTGCATTAATCTATACAATTTAAAACAAGATTCTGAATTTTCATGTGATTATGGTTTAGAGACAGTGCGTAAACTGTTTCACAAAATTCAACTGAATGAATCTCAAGTAAAGTGAAGAAATACATTTTGTTCTTTGAGACAATATTTGAATTTCACCCTTGACTAATTTCACTGTTTGTAGCTAATCTAGAGATTCCTATAAAACATGTTATGAATTGGAAAATATCTATAATCAACCAACATTTGGTGTACCACAACAAAACCTGATAACCTTTTCTTATTAAGTATACATGTTCAACATTGTATGTAACTTGAATTTTCTTTTATTTCTCATTCATGTAAATTGGTGTGTCAATACCTGTGATACTGAGCCAGAATACCTGTGATACTGAGCAAGAATACCTGTGATACTGAGCCAGAATACCTGTGATACTGAGCCAGAATACCTGTGATACTGAGCAGGAATACCTGTGATACTGAGCAAGAATACCTGTGATACTGAGCCAGAATACCTGTGATACTGAGCCAGAATACTTGTGATACTGAGCAAGAATACCTGTGATACTGAGCCAGAACACCTGTGATACTGGAAATGAATACCTGTGATACTGAGCAAGAATACCTGTGATACTCAACAAGAATACATTACGTGCCTGTGATCTTGACCAAATAAACACCTTAACCTGTGATCTACTCCAATATTGCTAGAGTTTTAAATTCTTAAAATGCTATATTTGACAATGTTATGAAAATGTTCGAAAAAAATTCATGATTTATGGTGATAGATCATGCAAAATTTTGCTTTGTTCTTCCCAAATCTTATAAGGGTTATACTCAAGAGAAGTACACAAGCAATGGAAAAATATTGAAATTGTTGATGCTAAAAACCAAATTCATTTGGAACATTTAGAAGAACATTTAGATGGGATAAGGAATACCTAAACTGTAAGTACACATATTTGTATCAAGTTTTAAAGAGATATTCCGTCCAAGTTGCAACATTTATAGCTATTCTGTACCAGAATTGTTTATAATGACCTTTGGTACTATTAGTAGCATCAAAATATATCTCCTTGGACAGGCGAAATCGTTGGGAATACTCCCTGGCAATCTGTTTAAATATAGCGCATTGGAAAATCTAGAACTTGTATGGATATCCATTTAAGTCATAGATAGATAATTGAATCTTTCTTCCAGTCTCAATTTCTAGGCAGAAGGAGGCAAATGTGCTTGGGAAATAAGAGGTTGCAGTCAGCACAGTAAAGTTAGATAACAAATCAGGTGACCAGCAGCCGCTTATGTTATAGAAGTACCTGTAATCCTAATTTGAAGTTGGGTGGCGCCAGTTCAAGAACATGAGGAGATAACTCTGACTTGATAGTATCCAGTGTTTCGTAAGTATGAGCTCGGTTGAGTGTGACCACCACTAGTCTACAAAATCCAGCTGATTTTGACAACTGTTGTCTGCCTTCATCTGTACTGAACATCCACTCTGTTTCCCTGTTCAACAAATATCTCAATAAAACTTTCATTGTTACCTTAATAACTTGAATAAATAGAAAATTAGTGATAAAAGTTGAGTGGATGGGGAATTATTATAGAGAAGTTCCATTTGTCCGGTCTTTGTAACAGATAAATATTCCGTAAAACTTTTCACTGCATTCTCTTCTACAGATGGGTGAGAAAAAGACAGTTTTAAAATTAAATAGGTATGAATCAATCCAACAGACTGGAGGCGGGTTCTTCAAAGATTTATTATAGGTAGTCGGTCTACCGGTTTCGCCCTTCTAATTGGGCTTCATCAGGACAACATTACCTTGAGAAATATCCCTAAAGTATACTTAGGACGGGCAAATTTACATTGTTACTTATGACGTGATTAATTACGATCGTTAACTCTATAAATTATTATGAACATATAATGTCTGTCAGTATCCTTCACAGTTATATCTGTACAATTATAAACAATAAAGTTAGTATGAGCGATTAACTCAGTTCATTGATTCTCATCTAAGCACAGCGTTGACATGGATTCTGACTGGTACTTCAATTCCCGGTAATTCACGCGCTTCTCATCTTCCACTTCGGATGAATTGGGGGTCGAGGCCGTGCTATCTGAATCGCTTAAAGCCAAGTCCTGCTTCAATAAATCAATGGCTTCCTCCAATACTGGTCTCATCGGGGGGCCACTGATGTTGATTTTGGTTGCTGGCCGTATTCTAAATTTAGCGTTCTCCAGTTGTTTTTTGGTGAGTACTTCGAACGGTCTTTTGCTGTCTGGTTTGACCACTTCCTGTCTAACTTTATCCTCGTAAACCTCAGGTTCGACGACGTAACCTGGATGGAAATTCTTCATATGTCTCTTGTAATCACCATCTCTGCCAAATGTTTTTTTGCATATTTTACATTTGTACCAGGTTTTGATGGCCACGTGGGCCACATTAACATGTCTTCTTAAATTCCTTATGGAGGCATAAGATTTACCACATAGAATACACGGTATTCTTATGGATCTGGTGGGTTTGGTTTTGGTTACCTGCTTCTGTGGAATTTTCTTGAGGTTCGGCATTATGATATCAAGTTTAGGCTTTCCGGCTGTCGTGTACGTAAGATCCTAATCCAGCTTTCTTCAGTCCGTAGACGGCAGTTGATGTTGTTGACGTCGGTCACTATGCCGGTAACTATAACGTCATCGGCATTGTGTATCCAGGCGGAAGGCGAATAACCTGCAGACCTCTATTAAATACAACAGCGGCATTGGCTCTATCCTTTACTCATTTTAAAATTAAAGAAACTGTTGTGAATAAAAGAACTTACCTGCCCTCAGGTACGATGAATATACCAAATTTGTTGGTAAATTTCTGGTCACCGCTGTCTACTATGAAAAGAGTGTAACGTGGCGCAACAGACACTTCACTGTACAGACTGAATGACACCTGTTCTCCTACCATTTCTCTACGAAAATAAAAATGTAACTCATATACTCTTTAACACAAAACTCATTTCTGATATGGGCATATTTATATATTTTTGAACCACTTCAATGCTGCAAAATGCAGCTGAAATTCAACGTTATTTTATGGCATGTACAAGAATTATGTACAAGGTATGCCAACAAAGTATCAATACAATAAACAAGATCCTGAAAGATTTTTAACAACAAAACTGGGCAGGCCCACTCACAGAAATATTGAAATACAGTTAATACTTGTGTGGGATACAATTTAATAAATTCTAAGAAAATCCAGTAGTAGAATAGCACCACGTTGATCATACAGGCCTATACATTTTTGCTGTTCTATCTCAGATAAAAATGCTACACAAAAGCTATGGGAGTGCTATGGTTTCACCATGGCAATGGTACACGAACGGTAAGGTAGTATGATGCCAATGGTACGACAGTATGACGGAAGTGGTATGGAAGTGCTATGGATGACATTTTAAAAACGATTAACGTAACTGATCATATATCCAAATATTAATTTATAATTAAGTTGCCTGAGATACCCGTTTTTACAGTACCAAGTTCATGTTGTCGATGGTTTGGTCATGTAAATGCTCCTGGGCATATATGCTGTACAGATACATGTACCTTACATATCAGACAATGATTATCTCAGCTGACTTGCATTGAATAATCAATCTGTTCATCTCTGACCAATAATTATACACATATCAGCTATTATTTTATGAACTATCATGCTACAACAGAAACATGTCTTAACGGATATGACACACAACTGATAGGGTAATGTTATCTAATCAATGTAATTAGCAATTTTATATATACATGTAGACCCTGCTGAACAACTTCCTTCAGAATAAATGATATTTTATGGATTTGATAAATTGTTTTTGTTTCATAAATTGTACTATCCAAGAAATAATAAAAAATGTTTTTTGAGTACGAAGCCATAGTGATATGGTAGAACCTTGGAAATTGTCTGAAAATGCTTTAGGAATGATATGGAAGCACTGCTATAGAATGACGCAAATGCTGCAATGGTACTACAAACATGGTATGGAAATGTAAGGCTGAAACTGGAACAGAAAGCATAGACATGTATATACATGTGTTACTGTAATTAGTCTAATGACAAGTCATAAATCTAATTACCTTTTCTTAATCTGTTGTCTCATAATAGCATAATACTGCATCTCTTTCAGGACTGTGTGCATCTTCTCTGTGGAATCCATTCGTTCTATCTTGTCATCACTAGAACCCACCTCTAGGATCTGTAGCCACAGATGTACATGGATCAGTACACAACATCAATGCTGACAACAATACATACCAACAGCCATGTCTAAACATTGGAGTTCACGATAGAAATTCTTTTAAATGTAAATGATAGAAATTTCTATAGCTTACATACCTGTTTCATATTTGGTAGCTTCTTGAATTTCGTAAAGACCGCAGCAAATACAGGCATGTTGAATTCTTTCTCTTTATTTTCTGAATCTTCGGTGTTTACCTTGTGTACCCGTACTGGCCATCCTCTAGAAAGTCATATCATATAGTTCTTTATAGTGACATATACATTGCAAACATACAAATACAGAAACAGGGAGGTGATCACTGTAAAAAGTACCAAGGTATGACCTCAAAATACAGCTACCACTTATTACAAGAGATATAAAATGTTATAAACAATCAAACACTGTCAATCTTTTTTCAGTAGGCCACAGATATATACAGAGGTGTGACTCTTATTATTCTTTCAGTCGTGTTTACCCTTAAATTCTCAAAACTGGCTGGTCATAAAGTTTCTAAAAATTCTACTTGCTTATTATTAGAAAAAGATAAAATTGAATCTAATACCCACCATCTATTTCACAACTGTGCCTAAACTTCTGTCCCAACAACAAAACATACAATTTTGTGTAAATGCAATTTTACCAACAATAGGCTTTACAAGTGAATATTAATGAACAATAGAATTATAGAAAAGTGTTTATTGTTGTTTATAATGATATAACTGTTCATGTTTTGTTGATAATAAAAAGGCACATCTACTCACATAACTTCTGTGTGTACAATGTCACAAAATGTATGTTTTTACAGAATGAAATGCTCAATTAAACCGACAAATATGAAACAATTATAACTGTTCATGTTTTGTTGTAATAGGCACATCTGATAACTTCTGTGTACAATGTAAATGTATACAGAATTATGGATATAATTTTAACTGTTCATGTTTTGTTGTAATAGGCACATCTGATAATAAGCCCATCCATGTATTTTACAGATCAGTTACACCAACTAGAACTATCATCCTGAGGATAATTAATATCTCTCACAGATACAAAGTCCTCTATATAACTTTCATGTGCCAGTAGTTAATTAATTTTTATCATTCCCTAATAACTCTATTTACAAAATTAAGTGAAAATCAGACAATATCAAAATTTCAACCAATCAGAGGACACCACTTAGCTTAGCATGGTTGTCATGGCAATGGAACACAGAGATATTTGGCATCCCCTTATACCCCTATATACAAAAATGGATGAAGTTTGTCTAAAGACAGATGGATAAGGTGTTTCCAGGATACCACCACCAACCCCTTCCTCTCCAACTTTGTTTTGGGGGTACAATAAGTACCTCTATCATGTCCCCTCCTCTCTAACTACTCTGACTCAAGGAATGTTACTTAAGTTCCAACAGTGTCAAAACTTCAATGAAATAGCAGATCTAAATTTTGATGAAGATCATTATTATACTCATATATCCATATCACAATTTAAAATTGAATTGTTTTGGGTTTTGTTTTTTTTCAAATTTCAAATAGGTTTAACAATTTTATGATAAAGTGAAAAAAAAAAATGTTTTAACCTTCTCTGGTAAATTTCTTTGGATTAACTAATATTTCTTAGCATCTGAGTTTCAATACTAACATGAGTGGGAAGAACTGAAGGACTTTGTTCATGATATGATCCTGTAGAAGAGAGATACACATGTATCGTCCTCCTTGTTTTAGAACACGTCCAATTTCTGTAAACATGGCATCAATATCAGCCACCACCTCTTTACTGTCATCCACCATCAGAGCATCAAGTGTCCCTTTGTCTAGAACCACCCCAAACTCACCATCTGAAAAATTTGTCTGAAGAAAAAATAATTAGTCATTACTTTTGTATGACAGCCTAAAATAAATTCTAGCAAACAAAAATATCTGTAAGAGATGTAAAAGACTAATATAGTTCGTCTAATGCATACTGCATAAACTTATTAAAACTAGATTACTATTTAATAAGCATTTTTTCTTGATAATGAAACTGTCACTTGAAAGGATTGCTATAAGTTTATTGTAAAATAAATCTGACATTGCATTTCTCTGGTTCATGATGTTTTTTTACAATCATAAGATCACTTGTTTACCTTCTTGACATCCATTTTGATAAATTTCATATCAGGACGGCACTTCTTGTTTTTATCAGTCATCTGACGAATGACTGTGTCGCTGATGTCAATGTTGATGATGTTGTGGTAGCCAACATCATAGAGATTTTCACTGAGCTGAGAGTTACCACATCCTACCATGAGTATCTTATCTGTCGGCTTGATGTACTTGTGTAGAATTCCACACAATTCGGGGTATTCACCATACCTACAACAGACCAACGACATGGGAACAACAAGGCAGTATCAGGACAGCAACCCTGACAATACAAAAAGCTCAGACAGTTTCATTGAAAACATCAATACTACAGTTCCCACCGTAGTAAGGCCATGCAGAAATCCAGAATTAAAATTCAGGTATGGAAATGAGCTTTTCACAAGACAATAACATTAAACTTGATCACATTTCTAGTGCAACTGCAGTACATGTAGAGGAGATATGCACGTATCGATTATCGAGATACATCCAGCATTAACTTTTCCAGCAAAAGTAACTTTTATTCAAGAATAGAAGCATTCTAAACAAAATATACACTATGTATGAACTGATAATCTATAACTTAAAATCAATTACATTGTATGTGCAAAATGAACATATATATTAGGCAGTATATGAAAAGTACAGATGTGAGAATCATACCATTCAAAGGCTTTTGTTCCTCTTTTCTGGAAGAACTGATCCCAATATTGAGGGGAGTGAAATTCACTGTGGTTCCTTGGTAAGAGATCCATGCCAGGTATTCCTTACAGGTTACAACATTCGTCTTAACCTGTGTTATCATTCATCAAATAGGAGAGGTCACATCGCTATACACAGAGAAAAAAAACCATATAAATTATATGATATCAGCCAATAAAATATGTTAACGTCTTCAAATTAATTGATGAGGACAAACAGGTTTGACAGCATGAATTGTAAATCTCAGGCCTAAGCGAGACAGACCTACAGATACAAGCGAAAGATGAGATTCGTGGAAAAGTTCAATAAGACATATGCATTCTGGCCATTTATACCACTGTATCCTCCAATTGGCAGCACCATTGTTGGATTGTGCTTGCCACATATATTTCTGTTGTATTCGGCAGTGCGAAAACATCTGTATTTTAGCATGAGTGTGAATTTGATAATGTTGTAGGAAAAAATAGAATACAGGTCAGTGTCTTAAAATATAAGCTGCATTTTGGCGAGGGTGAAAAAGACAAATGTGGCACTTAAATTTTAAGACGATGACCACTAGGAACTATAACTTCCCCTGTCAATACACTAATGATATTTAATGGGTATATAAGTTAAACGTGTGTTTTAATAGTAAATCCAGACATCCCTGCATATACAATTGCAGACCTAAATGTAATTACTGATAACATGAACATACTGAAGATTCCAACATTCACATCATGTAAAAGGACAATCACAAACACACGATCGGTGTGCCAGTGAAGTTGATAAAGGAAACATCACAATGCATCATAATCATCAAAACGGTTGTCAACTTCCATAAAATCAATACAAAGTTTTAAGATTCTTATAATATTCTTACCAAACAGCATGTGTACAAAATGTTTAAGCGTTTAAAAGATGACGATTTCCTCGGTGCGTTCGCTTTTGCTATGAGTGTCCGATTGCAAATTTTAAAATGTAGCTTGAATATCATTGTATGCTGATGTAATAAAATTGAAATCATTATGTTTTGATAGCTTTATTTCACCAGTAAATTAACGAAAACTCGTGCCTTTTTTCAGCGGTGTTACAACAGAAATTAAACAATTCCGGAATTATTATCATTTCGTTTTGTGATCGTTCACTTGTCACATCCGGTCGACCACGTGGTTTAAAGAAAAACTGTAAACAACATCATTACTACTTAAGTCCATTTTATTTCTAAGAAGATGGGAAGCTCGAGTAAAGTAAGTTCTTTTCCCTCATTTGTTTTATTGTAAGTATTGACAAATGTTCCTTCATTCTTAGAGCACGCATGGTTAATACACCCGTTACATGGACCACAGGAATCGGACGTTCTGTCTATGTGAAAAATACTTTATGTACAATGGTTTTTACTTCAGTAGTATATAGCTATGTTTCACATATAGAATACCGAGAGCTCTCACAATGCCCCTGTGAACCAGATGATAATCTAATTAATTAAACTAAAAAACCCTAAATCACAAGTCAACCTGAGAGATATAACCAGTCTGATAACAGACTGACGGTATACACTGTCGCGTGCAAAACGTATTTGCCGAATAGTCAATGTAAAATGAAATGTTTCCCAATTGTATTGTAATTGTTTATGCAATTTCTATTTAACATGAATTGACGAAAATCATCATACATGCGGCATATTAATGTGTATTAGTTCTCTCTAGTACAGATTAATCAGCTAAAAAAACATGTGCATGTGTAATATTGTATGTTGTTTATTGTGGATAAATGATTTCAAATACTACCCATAATGTGGACATATGCATACAATGACTTTTATACTGCCCTAGTAAAAAGGTTCTGACTATCAGGGTTTTGACTATCTAGTCAGAACCCTTTGAACTATTACTGTCCAAACACTGTCACAATTAAGACTTCAATTTTGATTTCCAAGATAGATTTTCTTGAACCACTTATGATACAGAGTACATGCAGTGTGTATTTACAAGCCGTTTTTAGTCTCGGAATCCTTAATACTGTGACCGAGACTGAGTCAAATAGCTCAATGACAAAGCAGCACTGGCTTTAACCATATATGTATAATATGAATGTATTGTATGCTCAGATTTTTACACCTGGATGAAGTAATGCAGCAAAGATGTAGATGAAATGTCCACTTGTCCTAATTAATCATTTTAAGATTGTATAGAAATTAGGGTTGATTTGATAGGCATTACTGTTCCAAGCTTGGTTCCTCATTAGTATTTACACAGTGATGCTGGAGTATTTACTAGTTTGATTAATCATTAACTTTATTGGTTATGCATCATTTTCAATCTAGGAGAAAAAGAGACGAAAGAAGCAAAAGGTTAAAACTGCAGAGAAAAAGAAGAACCTCCAGATGAAGTTGGCAAGGATAGAAAATGTAGAGATGTTAACTAAAGATCAAGTGAAGAACATTCTGTGAGTGTGATAACAAATTAAAAAAAAATGTCCCTGCTTGCTGTTAGGATGTTTACACGGGTGTTTGGAAATGCTTATAGCAAACCTGAAATACACTTATGTAGCCTGAGATTACTGTCACACAATACATTTTGGACCGATGTCGATGTCAGAGAGCTGTCTATCAAAATCTATCAACAAACTTTGAATCTTGACTCTATAAAAAAAGCTTTCAATTTTATTGTAGTTTATATTACAAGAGAATCTCTCTTTCCACAAAATATACAAAGAACTGGAGAACAGATAAAAAAAGCTTAGCATAATCAACATACAGTGAATACCATTCTTAAACATATATACACACATGTGCAGCTTTCCAGTCTTACAAATAGATAGATTATACCCTTATTTCACATTCATGTACCAGGTTAATGTTTTTTAAATTAACAGATTTATGCCAACAAGGATGCATGCATGCACATTGGCCCAAACACTAAGCAAAAAGTCACATTTTTTACCATAAATTTCATCTCAAAATAATAACAACTGTGTACTGTGTATGATTGATCTTGGTTATCTCACTGTTTTTATTTACCAACACTGTATCATTCACTTGAACTCAGTAAAGATCTAGAGCAGTTACTGGATGTAGCAATTACACTTGGGCACTAATTAGTGTCATACAGGGGACACTTATCTGAGATATACCACAGATTTTGGTTAATGAAATTTTGATCTTGGCAAAAACAATATCATAATAACCAATATCTATGTTGGATGATATTATAAAAATTCATTTTAGGTAAAATTCAGTATATGGAAAAAATATTATAATGTGTGAGATATGATATCTGATATTATAATAAGTTGGCTCAACTGTAATTTCAAAACAATAGAACCATATTCTCAAACTGATGTTAATTCTATACAACTGTTTAAAATTGTAAATGTTGTAATCTATTACCTCGCTCTTTTTCATCATACTTTTTTAATTCTTTAATCAATGTTGCTTTACTGAAACCCAAACCCTACGGATAAAATACCAAAATGGAAAGTTTATTGCATTTTCAAAGGTAGTGACTCCATTCTAAGAAACAAACAACTTTATATAGGTTGCTTGACATTCCAGACACAAAGAATGCTTTAGTGTTACTTAACTCTGTATATAGAAAGCAGATTATATAATGTAGGACAGAAGTTGACACTATTTTCCTACATTACACAGTGTACACACCACCTGTGCATCTAAAGTGACGGGAAAGAGGAGACGAAGAGTGACAAAGCGACTGAAACATCTTGCCAAGAAAGCAACCGAATCACAAGATGGTATTTTGAAAATTAATCTTTGTCAATTGCTGCTATAGATTTTTTAATAATGAAATATATCACTATAGATTTCTTGATTATTAATTATGTCATTTTGGAACCCTTAATGATAGTGTTCTCCAGTACTCCTGAGTTAGGGTACACCCCTTCCACCCTAATTGATGAAATTGAAGACTTGAACACAAACGTGAGTCTTCTGTGATTGTACTATAGAGACATGTACTAGTCTGAATCTCATGGGACATTATCATTAAACCTCCCCCTCCTCTGCAACAAAGATATAAAGTGAAAGTTTACTGCAATCATGCTAGATGTCTGTCATCTAGAAACCTTGTCCTGATAAACATGGGAACCAGTTCCAATGTATGAAGATGTGCATGCTACATTTTTCTAAAATTTTTGGTGCCATGGTAACCTGGTCGTTATACATAATGAGTTGGTTTTTATATAAAGATATGTTCAGCTTATGCTTTAATTTTCTTTTGCAGTTGACATGGAAACAGTTGATGAAAAGAAACAGAAAAAAATGAAAGGGAAACCAGCTACAGCTGTAGAGGAGGTGAATACAGGCCAGAGTATGGATACAGAAGACAACTGAGGCTTCAGTCACGGTTTTGAAGCAGACTTGTTTGAACTCTCAAGATTATGTGTGAAATGATGAGATTTCAGGTTTTTCACTTGAAAATCAGATTGATGGTTTAATACATTAAGATCATAGTTGATGGAAAATAAATATATGATACATCCTTGTAATTTCTTACGTTATGAAAACATGTTGTAGTTCAGATTCTTAACCTGTACAACACTTTACATTACAAGTGTTCAAATCATCAATGCTATAAGGTAGACAATTTGGTAATTCAGCTGACCTTCCAATCAACTGGTGTCATATGTGTTTGATATTTGGTTTTGTAACTTGTATGTATGCATAGCTTGGCATATGCTTTCCCAATATATCCACAATGTATTTGATACATTGTTGTTAAACTGTATCTTTATTATTGTTTTAATAAAATCAAGTTATAACACAATCATATGTTGAGCAGTATTGTTTTGTTAAAAATTTTATTAAATGCATTTGTCTCCTAACAACAGTATTTTCTTGAATGATTTTTCATATATATATAGTGTATGATTGGTTCATGTTAGCTCCAGGGAGGTAGCCCCAAAGAAATGACTTCAACTCATATTTATGATTACAGGGGTCAAAATTATAGAGAACACTTCAACAACTTCTTTTGATAAACCAAATTAAATCCTAAAATCAAGATACATGTACTAGTATTTAGTTTGTACAATGTAGATTCAATTGACATTTCCCAACTAAATTTGCAAAATGACAGATTTTTGAAAATACTGAACTTAAAAGGTATAGCAAGCATGAAGCCTGACAAAAGTTTCCTAATAGAAGTGACCTTGACCCATATTGATGGTCAGAAGGGGTCAAATGTGCCTACTAGAAAAGAATTCCTGTCATAGATACTTGTAAATGCTTAGTCGTGTTATTAACTTGCTAGTTCTTGAAATTGTTGTGAATAAGAATTGGATAAGCCCACATAGAATGGATGATGCAAATGTATTCATGAAAGACATTAAAGATAAGGTGGTCCATGGAGCCTTTCCTTGAGTTTGACATGCTTAATTTTCAAAAACAACCTTCAGTGTACACTTACTGTGTATATACCCATATTACAAAAGTAATGATAAAATACATTGTGTGTGTTTTTTTGGGTCATCTAACCCGCAAGGTCATGACCTATAGCCATCATGCTTTGTCCGTTGGGCGCGTTCTGCAAACTTTCGACATTTCAAACTTCTTCTCAATTTCACTGATGGGATTGAGCTCAAACTTGCATGAAATGGTCCTGACCAAGTGTTGTTAGTTTTTTGATATGTCTGAAATCCAAGATGGCTCCCATCTTGAAAAACATTTTAAACTTCTCTAGTTCCACTGGTGCCATTGAGGTAAACATTGATGGGAATGTTAAGGAAAGGTAGCCAAGAAAGTGTGGTTAATATGGCAGCCAAGGAGGCCATTTCATAACATGATTGTGCATTCATGGTTTTCCTGTGCAACATCTATTTCAAACTTCTCAATTTTCACACGGTGGATTGAGCTCTGACTTTACTGTCAAAAAATAGGTAAAACCTGGTACAGTTACCTAATCCTCACTAAAACAACCATTTGCTTTCATTCAAAGTAGAAAGATTTCATTCAAAGTAGAAAAATAACCCTGCTTAAAGTTTTTGTGGTCAGATAATCGTTAAGGCCCATGGGCCTATTGTTCACATTTTTTTGAGGCATTCAGTGCTGTACCAATAATTTCATGGATTTTTATTCGCTCTCCTGATCTGAAGGGCCATTGATCTTTTGCCATACCGTGTTGTCTATCCTTCCCCAACATCTGTCAACTTCTCCTAAAAATCCCTACTAGTCATTGATGATTTAGTAGTGTTTAGGGTTTCAGCCTCCTGGGGAGGGAAGGGTGGTCCCAACAGAGGAAATGGAACCAAATCTTGAAAATCATTTCTTATCTGTGAGAGTTCCTGCATTCTATCCTAAGTTGGTTTGAGGTATGCTTGGGTGAAGTGGATCAATTTTGTAAAAATGGTGGATAAAAAGGGGAAGGCCCAATGAGGTAATAGAGCAAGTTTTTTTTTAAAAATCCTTCCGTTGGAATAGTTCAATTTTGCCCAAAGTTGATCAGAAGCATACTTTGGTGAAAAGAACTTGATTTTGTATTAATGGTACAACTGAAATCCTTTGGGGCAGAGGGATTAGGAAATAGATACAAGTCTAAAATACTTTTACTTTAGTTTCAATGAAGCAATTTCAGCAAACTAAACCAAGTGAATGGTTCAGCCTTTATGGGCTTCATGTTGAAGTAAAGTTTGTTACCTATTTGTTTAACATCATTCATTCTTATGTGACTATTTTTTTTATAGTAAATGGAGCTTGTCACATTGTAATGTATATAAATGTATCATACACTTTTACTGTAAATATACATAATTCAACAAAATCCAATTTTAAAGCAAAATTGATTTTTGGCAAATTAGCACAACAATAAATTGATGCATCAACAATGGGTGATATATGAATAGTATTCAAAAATTGCATTTAGTGAAATCCTATTACATTGTAGGGCAATATTTTCAGCATGAAAGGTATTGAAATAAGATTAAGTTGAAAATGTATACATTTAACAGTACAGACCATGGGACACAGAATTTGTCCCTGTGACAGGAAAGGACACAATGTGGCAATATTTCTTTTCATCATTTATTTCCAGGGTAATAAAATCATACATGTACAAGTACTAAGTACCATACATGTATGTAAATGAATGGAAATGATACAAATGTTATGGCCACATCATGGAAACACCAATCAATCCAAGGACTGGTTGAGTTCCTAGATTGTTATTGTCACTGTCACAGGTTTTCTCAAGACAATCTAAATTCCTTGACTAGAATAGGAGTTATTCTCAAATATCTTTACTAAAGGTTTGAAAAATGGGTACATTTTGTATAGCATATCTGGAACTGTTTTTAGATATCTGTTAGACATTTTGATGAAGTTCTGACCATACCTGATTAAGAAGTTAAGCACGTCTTAGCTGAATGAATGTAAAACAGGTTTCTGTTACAAATGACTAGCTAGTGAGCAATAAATCAGACACCTGCATCACATTGACTGCAGATCAGTGACCTCACTAACTGCAATGATATACATAATTACTGAAAATTAAAACTAAAAGTTTACACACTTCCCTAAAACTCATTTATTGCAGATGACCAATGCAAATGTTAATGATCAAATAGTATAATTATTTAGAAGCCCAACAATAATACATAACCATTCTGATTGCAGATTGAACGATTAATTATAGAAACAATTTTTCCTGATTCATTAGTCTTATTACAAAATCTTTTTTTGCATTAAAGTCTCTGGCAATGAAGAACCACTTGACACAAAAATAATTAATGGTCAGACTTCAGGACCATTCAATGTTCAGTTTGTTACAATGACCGTGGTATGTCCTCCACTGGTTGTAGCTACTCAATAAAATTTACTGCACAAACAGGTGAGATCAAAATCCTGCAACAAGTCGACCCTTTTTCTTTGCCCTTTTTAATTTTTTGTCCTTCTTTTGCTGTTTTCTCTCTTGAATATTTTGTGTACGTTTTTCGATTTTTGCATCCATCCTCTTTTTCACCTGTTCTTCTCGCTGAGACCACTGCTTTTGTTTTTGTTTTTTCATTTTTTCTTTCCTTTTCATTGACTTCTTTACAAGAGCAGGGTCATCTTTGACCTTTTGCCCTTGGGTTCTATACATGGCACTCTCCCATGCCATCTTGGTCTCCATGTCTTTTCCTTTCTCTGCATCTTTTTCCTTCACTTTGTCAACTCGTTCCTGTCGCTTTTCGATTTTTTCAAGAAGTCTTTTATAGTCCTTTCCCAACAGGTTACTTTTACCCCTATCTTTCCCTGCTGCTTCTGTAAAGTCAAATTTGCTAAACACCAGCTTTCCTTCTTTGTTGTAGACAGGTTTGGCTGGTTTAGATTTCGGACTCCCTACAACCCCATTTACCACTTCCTCTTGTTTCACTGCCAGGTTTCCTTTGTTTTTATTTTGTTTTTCAAACTTTTTTCTCAGTTTATTTTTCAGAAGGCTCTCTTTTCTCTTCAATTTCTTCTTTTCTTTCTGTTCATCAACACTAAGTCCTCTTTTACCTAAAAATGAAACAAGAAATTAGTTCAATGAAAGTAAACTAAAACATTACAATGACTTCCATGGAATAGTTTGGTATACAGTAACCACTAATTCTAATAAGCATACTTCAAAACTTTTAATCAAGTAAAGTATGTAATCTTAAAATTGTACAAAATTTTTGTTAAAAAAGTGAGAAAAATGAAATGTTATGCAATGACTTCAGATGGTTGACATTATAACATAGAAGTATTTTGCTTATGTTTCTCTGCAGATGTTTAAGATGTGTATGTACAAAATGCATGCCGCTGCTTGCAACCAAAGAAAATAACATTGATATTCTGATCAAGTGCACTGTATGAGAAAATAGAGTATTTCTTTAAGTGTACAAGAAAAGTTAATTTTGGAAAAAACAAATTAACAATCACAAAAGACCTGCATCCTCTCTTCATTCAACATAAATGGACTATATCAAGATTTTTGCCCTAATTTGCAATGTAACATGATCAATTAATTTATACAGAAGACTAGGTACACACCTTGTAGCTCCTCTATCCTTGCCCGAAGCTTCTGTTGCAGTTCTTCCTGCCGTGGGGTGATTACGTTTACCAGACGAGCATCAGTTTTTATCTTTCTCTGCTTACTCATCTTGGAGTTTTTGTGCTTCTGTTTTTCTTTCAGTTTGCTGCCTGTTAGATAAAAAGAAACCACTAAGTGACATGATACTAAATTATTCAATTATAAGATAAAAGACACTTAACATGATGTCATTATTTTCACATATTAAGGTAGGTATTCAAATGTATTAAAAGGACAGAATAATGACCCATTATGACTAATTATAATTGTTCTACCTCAACTGATGCAATTTTTCATAATAGATCATTTATGTAACTGTTTTCTTTTGTTATAACTAAAACAATCTTTTCTCTACTCATTTGAGGCAGGACCCTTTTTTTATCTCATTTTGGGGACAAAACTGATCAGTTGTGAAGGAAATTCTTAGGTGTAAACTATACATTTTGGGAATTTGGGCATATTTTACAATTATATAGTAACACATTGATGAGGTAAAACCATGATATCATCACACCAGCTAAGAACAATATCGGCCAAGGACATTTTGGGAATGGGGCCCATATTTGGCCCCACAAACCCTTGACAAATGTTATCCTAAGCACACTAAAAAGACACCAATTGTCATTACTTCTTGCTATGTTGGGCATTTTAGATTAATGTTATAAGAAATCAATTACAACAGCAATAACATTCACTTTCTATGAATACACTTTTCACCCACGTATATAATTCGTTTTATGTCTACCTAAAAAATTATTCATTAAAGATTTTAACATATTTCCCATCATTAGTTAATATGAAATACATTTAATCGAAACACCCTTGTATGTACCTATGTAACATTGTGCCTAAATAATTCAGATTTTAGAAATTTCATTCATATTTAAATCTGCAATGAATCATCAAAGTCACTAATGATCTAGTTTGAAGAAGAGAAACTTTATCAGTAGTTTTCAGAAGGAAAATCAATGGTGAGTACATTAAAATAGTATATTGACTTTGTTATTTATATAACAGTAACAATGTTGTTATACTGATGATATATACATGTATATACAGGCTTGAAGAAAGAAAGATATTTCAATGTAAATGACAGTTATTGATACACTTAAGAGGTCATCAATGTAAAAGTAAGGATTTATCTATAAATAAAACATGGACACACCATCCTAAAACATTAGCCATTTTTTATAGAACTTCATTGGAAAAGGATAAGCCTTTTACTGGTACCGCTATATCAGTCGGCTATGGGTTGACAGACAGTTCTGATCACCAGAAAAAATTCAGTTATCTTGTGATAATCATTTATTGCCCGACAGTCAGTCGTAGTTGTGGTGTTGTCATTAAAATTGTGTCCGTGTCATACTTACCTGGCTCTTCATTTTCCTGTTCTGGTTCCTGTTGCTTTTGTGATGACAACTTTTTAAATTTTTGGTTCCTTTCTGAATACAAATATATAAAAAATACAAATCAGTCTTTTAAACTCACAATGACTATGAATTGTAGATAGAATTAATATCTCTTGTTTACCTCATATCATTACATTTGTAACATTGTCATTAACTGAAAGGTAAGTTACTGCAGTATATACAATGGATAATATAAGATATACAGAAATTAATCAAAAAAAAACCCTTTCAAGACTTAATTTCCTATCATCAGTAACAGAAACAACATATTAAACACTGGTTTACATGCATACATTCAACTTCCTCTTTCCTATTGTATTACAGTAGTCTTTCCCATTTTTTTTCTGGAGATTCCCAAAAGCTGGAGACTAAACACTACAAAGCAAGGCATGTCTTTGGGTTTTGGGTATTAATGTAAAAGCAGAGAAAACACATTCCTGCAGAACACCCTAACTGGAATCAAGTTTTTGGAATAATTCTCTTCTCTATGATCAAATAAGCCAAAGAAGCGTGATCTATCATCCCCATATTGTAGTTACCACTATAAACTACACACTATTTTTCACCACTTACACTTCATGTATCTAGATAAAATACATCAGATATAAGAATTAGCAAACTTTATAAGCACCTTGTTTTTTACTTGTTTGTGTCATTTGATATTCATCTGATGAATCAGATTCTTCAAGGTCCATTGAATCTGTGCTGAACACTGAACGGTCAATTGTTGCTAATTGTGCTTTGAAAAAGCTGAGATCCATTTTTATTGAGGAATGTTCATCATGAGTATCAGATGCCATGGCTTCCATTTTCATCTGCATGTTAAACTGTCAGTTTGAAGGGTTGTGTCATTCACTAGGAGTTAGTTCTGAAAATCTATAAAATTGAAGACTAATTTTATATCATTGTTAAAGCATCATTAAAAACTACAAGATATGGAAAAAAATGAATTTCCCCATTGTGTTACAAAATGAAGTGAGTACCTCATAATTGTTTGTTATAAAAGATTTTAACTAAGGGATTTCTGACACAAATTTTCACACTGTTTATCCTATCAAGAGACCAGGATCAGTGCACTGCCAATCAATCTATCTATTTTCTATATAGACCTATATATTGTCCATAATATATCATCAACCTATATGTATCTGACATAATACTTCATTTGCACCTAGACATATGCAGTAGATGTATTTTCCAAAATTTTAGATTTCATTAAAGTAAACTGTATTTATTAATAACACATGCATGGGTTAAAAAGCAGAACAAAATTTCAGTTATAAACTATTAAGACGACATTAACATTTATGGTACTTCTTTCATTGCTAAAATAGCAGTAACCATATATATTAGATATATAGATAATGGCACAGTTATTTCAGTGGTGCAATAACTGTATTTCATTTGTATTCGAAACGTTATTCTTGCATGTGAACGTGTTCACCAGTTGCTGTCCAGGTTGTAAATTTACAAAACAGCCATTCGTTTGTCGCTAACGTTTTTTTTTTCAACAAGTGCCATTAATTCTTACCCGTATTATATTTAGCGTTATCTTTTATCCATTGTGTCTATCAGTTATGATATTAAATCTTCAGCTTTTAGCAGCCTTTTCACGTGTTGCAGAAATTTCGGATCCACTTCCGGTTTTTCTAATAATGAAACCGAAGAAGCGGAAAACAAAATACGGAAATACATCTGACTGAAAATAGAGGAATATCAAAGGCTGTCGTTGACTTATATTTTTTATGCCTCCTGATCGAAAGATGATTTAAACCCTGAATTACATACATAGAGCACCATTTCCTATATGTACATGTCCGAATGGGAGATATTTGAACATTTTCACAAGTTAATGTATCTGATCATTGTTCCTTCATGAACATTTTTGTAAGGTTTAAATGACATGAGAAATTCAAAAGACGAATAAAGAAGAAAAAAAAACGATAATGATATCCCCCCTTAATATCAGAGGTTTATCTATATTAGAGGCAATGGGAAATTATTATGTCATTTTTGTGTCCCATCTAAATGTTTTCATGTTTCAAATTGAAATGTAAAACTTCGATAAATAATATGATAGGTGTTTCTTTTGTACTAAGGACCAATTCGGCCTTAGCAACTGTAAAATATGTATATATTTCGTCAAACGTAGAGACTTAAGTTGAATTAAGTATATCTAAATCTTCATTGTGAAAAACAACTCTTTAATTAATCATTAAATTTAAACATATTTTTACGTCGTTAAAATTACTACTTTGAACACTACACCTTAAAACATGCAGGTTATCCAAGTAGCAATTATAGCACCATGAACTTCTTTCATAAGCTAAAATCTTAGATCCTGTTCTTAAAATGTTGTTACGGGTGTGTGTTAACAATGGTGACGGAACATGTTTGATCAAACTTGAAAAAAATGGGCTCTGTAACATAAACACTATGAAGTCAGCATCACAGAAGTTCTTTTATCCGTGACAAAACTGGCCTGTTGCGTTATGATGTCATGTCAAAATATCGTAAGACACATGTAACACAATTGTGACGTCACTAATAAAATATGTTACCTGTAACTGATTATTGTGGTACAGCACCTTAGCCCTCGACTGAGATACTCCAATCTCGTTTAGTGACAGGTAACAGATTTTATTAGTCACGTCTTGAAGACTTTACATGATTGATAAAGAAAAATGTACCGTCTGCTTCGATATATTTCCTTCTGAAAACGAAATTGATTTGGGAGTTTTACCCCCCGAAAATTTGGCTTTTATGATATGAGAGTTGCTTTTTTTAGAAATACGGATTACTCATGATAAATAGAATTTTGCAAATATTAAACACGTTGAATAATTTGATGTCACTTGTCTCCAATTGTGGTCATATTGTCCATATAACATTTATAACATCTGGAGGTAGAAGATATGTATCCAATGTCCTCCTAGTGTGTAAGCCTAGCACGTGAAAACGACATGTTAATGTCAGTTCATGGATACAATTATTAAAACTTTCACATGCGATGAAGAAGTCATTGTGTTATGCCCTTCTTATAAATATAGACGATCGAAGTCAACTATTTACTATGCATAGTAAAGATAACCCCTTACACAAGAGATTTGACGTTCCACAAAATATTTGTTTTGTAGATGATATAATTGCCATAGAAAGACACAAAAAACTGAATCACATCCGTGTTGGCTTTAAATATGTGGTATTTTGAATGAGCTATTCAGAGGATGAAAAAGCAGCTTGAGAAAAGAAAAGAAGATTCATCAAAGAAAAATATAAATGAAAATTGTCACTCCCTACCAGTGACTACCCAGAGGATATGGTGTGGTCATGGCATAAATATCCAAGTCCATCATTATTCTACAACAACCAAAGAAACCGTTGCGGAATTGTATACATGATCGGAACGGAGAATATTGAATCGATGCACAGGAAAACACCATAGGCTGGGGATGCAGGAATATTGCTCTCCAGAAACTGAAAGTTACACAATAGAAACTGAAATCATCACTCTTAAGTTCGAGGTAAGCGGCTAATTTAGAAGTCTGTTGTGTTCTTGATTTCCAATTCTGGTATATATACGATAGACATAGTCAATAAACTCTTTGTTATTTAGATTCAAGACATCGCCATGTATCTTATAGTGAAATTGAAGGAATTCGCAAGTCTTTGTAATTAGTTTTGAGAAACTCTTCCATAACTTCAGTCTGGCATGAAAACAAAATCAACGCGACCAATAGTTAAATCACCTAGGTATTCCAATAGTCTGTTGGAAGATCTTACTGAAAGTCGATAGAATGTGAGAATAATTCGAACTGATGACCATTGCGGATCACGCATTTAATTACTAATATTTCTGGATAGTATTTTTCCATACATTGTACGTGCGTAGTGTTATCTGAATAGGTCCTATCTGTTCTGCTTGTTGTTTCTCGGCTCTTTCGTGCCTTGAAACCTTCTTAGATAAATATTTGCCACATTTTATCCTTTTGTTTTTTTTTATTATTTCCTCGCTGTAGCTATTTGTCTGTCTGTTGGAGGCAATTCTTTTCACAAACAGCTCGACATAGACAATGGTCATACCATTTGGCACTAGTAATTTGGAAACATTGTGTTAATTGGGCACTGTGCCTATAGTCTAACAAAGTGGCATTGAAATTAACAGTACAATGTTTGATGGGAAATGAAACACATGTTCACAGAGATGTTTACCTTTCAACACAACCAAATGTATATAAATATTTAGAGTAACCCTAACTGAATTTCTACCGTAATTGATTCCTTCAGTTAGCACCATTTCAGTTTCACTGGCTACACGGAGGCATATTTCACCGAAACGGGGGGATATTAATTTAGGTTCGTCCTTCCGTCTCGCCTTCCGTCACACTTTCGTTTCCGTGTTCTGACTTTCCCAAATACCATTCAATTTGGGTGAAATTTGGTCAGCAGATGCATCTTGGGGTCATTAAGACCGAGTTTGACAATCAGTGTCATCTGTTAATAATTATGCATACTAATGAAGTATCCCTTGATTTCATTTGTCGGTTCATTTCCGTGCTCTAACTTCCCTAAATATAATCCGATTTAGATGAAACCTGGGCAGCAGATGCATATTAGGGCACATAAGACTTCATTCAGCAATCAGTGTCATCTGTTAATATATATACATACCAATAAGGTATCCTTTCATTTCATTGGTCGGTCAGTTTTTGTGCTCTAACTTTCCCAAATATAATCTGATTTAGATGTAACTTCAAAGTCCCACAAATATTATCCAGTCCCCTATACTGATCATCATATTGTGTGGACTACTATACCTGCTGATGACCATGGATCTGCTTAGCACCATTATAGTTACTAGTATGTAATTTTCTTCAATTAGTTCACTTTATTGGTTAATATTTGATATGTCATCTACATCTACTATAATCCTTTACATCTTTATTTGACTTTAAAGCAATACATCATAGCTCAAGAGAATATATCATTCTACATAGCATTATGACATGCTTACTCCTAACCTCTAAAATATTTACTTACAATATGTTTGGAAAGCTGGGGATATAAATTCCATGAATTTGCTTGTTCGTTATGCTTTTGATAGTTATCTTTCTATACCATATCAAATCGAAATAAGGAACGTTTCAGCAGCTCCTCTCAACATTATATAATTTGTATATAAGGGTTTGATACATCAGGCTAACTCGTGGTACTATTTACTTTGGTCGAATGCGTGATGTAGAAATCGTCGAGACTGCAACCACTGGATATTTACAACAGTGTTACTTTGACAGATCTCGACTTCATTACAGAAATGATAATTATTATTTAACTTGTATACAAGACCATGTGGCTGAAATACTTGCTTTTGTTTGCTTCGATTGAGGGAAGTTTAGAACAGCTATGTTATGTGTTTGTCTCTGTTGTACAGGTATTTAGACGTTTGATTTTTATGGTGTGTCGTTTAGTGTGTAATAACTTTTATTTTAACACGTATTCTAGCTACAGTTTAATTTATTTCAGCGGTGTTGCTTGAAGTTAATTTTAACATAGATCTGTTCCTTGGGAGTTCTTTTTAGTAGTAAAGTTCACACTCTTACTAACAAGAATCACTGCAATAGACTGTCCATACATGTAATTCAATACTTGTATCAAGACTACTGGTCTGCTTTGCAAAGTTCCCTGATGTAGTGTTTCAGGAACGTGATTAATTTATTATCTTCGATGTATATTAGAATTCCCGATACATAAGAGATGTTTTCATTTCGTCTGTACTATATCACAACAATGAATGTTGTTGTAACGGTTGAATGGAAGTACCTATATGACAAGCTATGTTCCAAGTTACGGACTTTGGATTAGAGAGATCGAACCTAGTGGCCTTAGTGAATATTCTACTTGTTGAAGTTAGGGTGACATCGTTGTCGAGGTAAGTTTGAATGATTGTCACATACATTGTAATATATATTGTCTTGCACATTGATTTTAAAACTCTTTTATTCTCGAAAGCGAAATCTTTTAATGATATTTTTAGAGATATGTCTGATAGTGATAAAGTGTCTTTCGTTTTATCAAGTTGTGAAATATGTAAACTCACGTCTAAAACCTGCTTTAATATTTTAAATAAGAAAATTATTTAAGTAAGTTTATTCCAAACATGTTATTTGACTTCGTTGTACATAGACCTATTAACTATATATGTGATAAAGTAACTATGTGTCTGAAAACATTTACCTTATTGATAATACTGCAATATGTCATGATTTTAAGTTTATGTTTAATTGATTTTCTATTCATTTTTAATGAACATGTAAAGATGTAAACAAATTATACAAAAGACACGCAGGTCAATAGCACCCTGGATAAAAATTTATATTGATATACAATAGTGCAAAACCATGAATTAAACTTATCATGCATAGCTAATTCGTTCTTCTAGGACTCTTGTAATTATTTAATCATTCACCAGTTGTGCTGACAAACAATGTAAACCTTCCTAGGCTGTAACTTTCCATTACATTTACCTTAACTAAACGCATCAAGAAGTAGCCTGTCAACAAGGGATATTTTGAGGCCGAGCGAGGCGGTTTAGAAAACTCAATGTCTTATGAAGCTAAAGATTTGACAGTGTATTGTAAATTAGTAACAACGTCGATTTATTGTATTATTGTAATTTATTTGTTGAATAATAGTTGGAAATAAGTTGGAACACTTAATTGTGTGTCTCTTTTGGGACAACATCAACATGCTGATAATAAGCCTACCAATAAACACATGTCGTTATTGCCATCGAAATAATACAATATAAATAGCACAAACAAGTCTTAGGGGTGTGTCTTAATATAAATAACACACTTTGCAAACAAGTCTTTGGAGTGTATTTAGGTTTTACGTAATAACAATTTTCTATCTACGAATATTTCCTCATATGTATATATTGGTAATTATAAATTCACGATCCATACCAAATTGATTTCTTTTTTAAGGAATTTAAATGGACGATTGCGTATTTTCGTTTAATCCGCGTTTTATATACTGTCGGCCCGAAAGTAAAGGTTTCCACTTCATTTGCAGACATTCAGACTATACACACGTGTATACCATTTCTACTAGTGTTCCGAATATATATTTACAATGGTTACCATCGGTGGTCAGTGATTGAGAATACGGACTTTAAGCCCTCATGTCAATATCTATACATGATCTTAACATGTCCAATGTGTAAAATCCATTGTCAATACTGCTTACACTAAAATGTTTACATTTACATTTAACTTTTAACTGATTCGTTAGTTGGAATCAGTAAAAAGCTGTGTAAGTAAAGGGTGTTTGAACTTCTATTCTCCTAAATGTCTTTTATATCAATATTTCAATTATAGAAACGATTTTCAATATAAATACACACATATATATAATTCATTTAGTAGTACAGTCATGGCGTTAAGGGTATAGATTTATCAACAGTCGAACATGTACTCAACTATTAAACGGTACTTTTATTCTGTTGTTGGTGATTGTAGAACATTGTAATATAACAATACTTAATTAGTGCAGTATAGACCAGCCACAAATTTCCTTCAGGGGCTTAAAGAAACCCTTCAAGTAAATTAATTTATTGATTGCAGTTGCACGTGTCCAGGATTTCTCTAATCGCAGTTTTAGTTTAGATTCAGCGTTTTGATTTTGTTCCACCATACACAATTAACTCGGGCTAAATTCGTTTTACATACTTAAAAAGACTAGTACAAAAGGGGAGGACAATGTGAGTTTTCTTGTAGATCAAAAGTTGTAGAATTGTTTTTTTCTTTTAATCATTATATTCAGACAGTTAATGCTTCTGTTGTTAACATAGAAATGATTGTTAGATAGAATACACGCGAAAATAATTATGATAATAATGTTCGGAAAACGTTATTTGAACTAATTTTACCGTATAGTCAAACAAGACAGAAAGTGACATGATTAGTCCGCAACTTAAAATGCTAACGATGCAAAACGACGTTTACATGAAGAGGTACACACCGAATTGGTATCAAATTATATATAAGATATGCTTTATCAGCCCCTCTAATCAACTGTGAATATTTCATTGTGTGTGCTGGTATAGGAAACATAGGTAATGACTTAGTTTTACACAAACGACATCCAGAGGCACAAATGTAATGAAAATGATATTTGCCAATCGAATCTATATACATATCGATGATATTCAATGTAAGACATTGAAGAAACGAAAGTGGACAGGTTTTTGAGGTTTCTTTTCGTGTTAGAAGGTTGATCATCTACCAAATTAGAATTTGTTGTTTTGAAAATCTTATTTGTGTGTCAGTATTTATAGTTTTCAAGTGGCAGATAATAGTTGTTAGAAACTGGTCCAAGCCAAACACTTAATCATGAATATGTTTGCTTTTTATTTATTTATTTGCGCCCGAATCTATCTCGGATGTTTGTTTGTGTTGTATTCTGTGTCAATTAAGAACGTTGTTGTAATAGTTGTTATCTATGTTAATCGGTATATATTGATGAATATGAACACTTTATTTACTGCATGCTGTGGTTGTTGAATCTTGTTCGTTTAAACTCCTTGTCATTCGATGAAATACTAGCAATTGTACCTTGCACAGGAAACAAATACAGAAATCTTCTCGAAAGAATTTTCACCATAGATCGGGAGTTGTACAGAATGATTTAGCCCTATAATAGATAGAGTGTTCAATGTATGATTAGTCTATTTCTTTTGATCAAATTATAATTTCATTTTTTCGTTCAAATCAGCTCTGCGTGAATATCGCGAATTTAGTAAGTAATATTGTATGTATATTTTTCTCTTTGCAGTTGGAGATGGCGTTTAGACAACTTTTACAGTCACACTCAGTACAACGCGGTGTGTGCCTGATTTCTGTCTTTGTTACAGCGGTCCTGTTCGCCCAATTGAATTCATATTCATATTCATATATTGTTGCTGCAACAATGAAATCTGAAGAACAAAATCATACCAGCCTTGATTATAGGACAGAAAACGATTTAGATTCTATAAAGACTATCCTAGCATATGGTTTAACCAGATGGCTTGACGAGTGGGTTGGTGATAAGTGGAATACCCCTGATGTTTTTGAAAACTGTCCGGTATCAAAGTGTGTTCTTACCAAAGAAAAAGCAATGCTCAATAGAGCAGATGCAGTGATGTTCAGATGGGACGATTTCGGAAAATGTAGGACAAAAAGAAAAGATGGACAAATTTGGATATTATTTGAACACGAATCCCCAGATTATAAACACAAGTCATATAGAAGCTGCTATAATGACAATGTGAACTGGACATGCACGTACAGGAGGGACTCCGATTTCAACTTAGTGTACGGTAAGTTCTTTCCGCACGAAACTGGATACAATATTACTAAGACATTTCAGTTACTGAGATCAAAATCCAAAACAGCTGTCGGCTTTATAAGTCATTGCGGTGCTCCTTCAAAACGAGACAAATTTGTACGGGAGCTTCGATCCTATGGAATGGACATTGATATATATGGTAAATGCGGGAATCTTAAATGTGGCGGTCAACCTGCCCAGAAATGGAAGGGCGTGTGGAATTTAACCGCAAATCATCAGGACCACTGCTTCGATGTATTGGATACACGCTATAAATTTTATCTATCGTTAGAAAATTCTTTATGCGAAGATTACGTCACGGAAAAGTCTCTTCACCTTTCTCTTTCTCATCAGATTGTGCCGCTGATTCGCGATGGTGCTAAGCGTTCTATATTCCATCCTCCAAACTCTTATGTTGACACAAAACAATTCAAAAGCTTAAAAAAGCTTGCAGAGCACATCAATACTTTATCAAGAAGTTTTAACAAGTATCTAGAGTTTTTTGAGTGGAGACGACATTATTCCATTGAAACAGTAAGTAATGTGCTGCAGTCAATATTCTGTGACATGTGTCATCGCTTACACCATCAACACCGCTACAAACGATTGTACAAAAATTTGAAAGATTTTTACGTACAATCGCATTTAATACACGGTGGTAAACGTATCTGTAACAATAGACTGATATGATTTAAAAGAAGATGTTTATGTTTTTAAAATAAAAAGCAATGCGTGGATGTAAAGAAGAATTATATTTTTCCGGGTAGGGTGGTAACATTGCGTACTCGTGAAAAATGTCAAAGTTTACATCCGATGGGATGTAAGATACGTGTTATTTATGAAAAAAAATAGGAATTCTCTATCTGTTACATTTTACCATCATTTACTGATGTCTGCTTTGTCGAGATTGTTATCATTACTACGTTAGACATTAACGTTTCACATCCAAGTCTACACGTTATTTAACATCATATGCCAACTTCCTTCCTGAATGAGAAACGGAATAAAAAAATACAAAACAAAAACAAATCATGAAATGATTAGCTAGCAAGTAAACACAGAAAGAACATACATACATGTTAACACGCCTGATTAACAGAAACAGAATAATGAAAAAAAACAAAAACAAGCAAACAAAAAACGAGTAACACAGAGACTCGTGTAAAGAACTATGAGAAAAAGACCATGAGTTTCAGCAGTAGTAAAGGTCTTCTACTTCATCAACGACGCTCGCCATGAAAATCTTGATTAATCAAAGCAATTAATGTCTCGTTCCCAAATGACACGTTAGCAACATCGGAACCAACAGGTATACTTTCGAACACTAGACACGTCAAACTTCATATTGCATAAGGAAACAGAATATTTCCCAGTGACATCTTTACGACGATTGTGAAACTTTCCCATCCTCTCCATCAATCTGCATCTCTCCATCCCCGTCTTGTGAGGTTTTCTAACAGTCGCCGACATCTTGCACGGAAAGTTTGATTATGAGAACAGTCTATTGAATATGAAATTAGCTGGATACATAAACACCATGGGTAGGGAATGTAGGAATGTTGCTCATTAGAAATGGAAAATTGATAGTAAGAAATTTAAAAACTCACGCTTAACATAAAACGCTGTCCGGTTTTTTTCTTGCTAGGAATAGATCTAGGTAAACGGCTGATGTAGAAGGGGTATCAATTATCGGCAGATCATATCAATACATTTACCAGCAATCAAGATCTGTGTAAATCTAAACTATGTATAAGAAAACAAAGAAAATACCGACATGAAAAAAAAATCATTATTGGACACATTTTTATACTTAAAAGTACTTGCTTTTCACTCATTGTTAGGCGCATATGTATTCTTTTTTGCCCCATGTGGTTGTTTGCTTTCCTAAACAATGTTAATGACCATGAAAGTCGACTTACGGGGGACAATTTATTACATGTTTGTGAAGTTTAATTGGCCCCTGTGAAGCTGATTATTTAAGCTATCACTACAAAGAGATATGAACTCTGAGCAATGCGGGTGGAATTTGCTTTTCAAAATCTCCTTTCAAAAAAGTTAAAAAAAAAAAAAAAACTGAACTGCCTTAACGTAATTATTATTTCGTCTGCACTTTCAATCATTCTCATACCGTTTTTTTTTTAAGTCATAACGATAATGACAGGAAAGTCTCTGAAAGCAATATAAATGTGTCAGAGAGTCGCTCTGGAGCCGCTTTACTCCTCGTTATTTCACGAGAGTCGGAACCACCTACACATCAGTAGTAGTGAAAAATGACGTCACATGAAAAAAAGGACAGTTATAACACTCCCTGGCGCTGTATGACCCATTATAGCTGACCGTATAGATGCCCCCGGGAGATACATGATGTATAACAAATTCATAGACGTTAACTGCCCATTACAAGCGTTTGAATGATGAAGGTACGTACAAACGTTTGTATGATCTGTCAGATTCCATGTATATTTGTAAAGAAACCCAATGAATTAATGCCAGATATGACGTAATTTCAAGGTAATTATGTTAATCACCAATATTTGTGACGTTAGATCTTCCTCATTTGAAATAACTCGTGAATAATTATGCGTGATAATATCATGTTTAATGATTCTACAGAGTTCTACAAATGCTGCGATATATATCAATGGGGAAGTGGATGAATGTGCAGATGTATTTTATCATTTATTTGCGGAGCACTATACATATCAGTCTTATGTATTAAAGGGCTTGAATAAATACCCAACACCGACACACTTTATTCACACATCAAACCAAAAACCAAAATGATCGAGACTGATGTCTCCACTCATTTTAAATGTTGATTAATATTTGTTACAATAACAATACAAAAGAATGAATTATTTTCCATTATGGAACGAAAAAGTACCTTGCAAAAACAAATGTACAGATATTTATGTAAACATAGGCAAAAATGTTTATTTATTTTTCGTTTGTTTGTTTATTGTTTAAAACTTTGTGTAAGTCATTTTCTGTACAAAAACTTAATAAGTAGAGATAATGTGTTCAACAAAAATACAATAAAGATGTACATTTTTCTCCGTAAGAAGTCGTTTAGAACCCTTTCTCGTTAGTGCTTATATATAAAGCTATATATATAGATTTATAACTTTACATTTGTTTTATGTTCTGTGTATGTGATGTAATTTATGTAATATTTGTGTCTTGATAAAGGGGCAGGTTGTCCGTAGTGTCGCTATTACTTGATCAAATATCTATTCTAGTAATCGAACGAACATTTGTTTATTAGGATCCATTACCAACATCGATGTAGATTCTCTATATATCTATGATCAGTGAAGTACTAACGACAGCATTTGCAAGTGAATTGTCAAATTTTGTATACATGTTAGTAATCAAAGATATTGCACGACACCTCAAACTAAAACTTGAAATGATTTAGACTGGCTTTTGTGTTGACAATAATCAATCAAGGTGCTGATAAATAACTTTTAACAATAAACCTGATCAGATTATAGAAGTAAAAAGTCATTTTCGTTGTGTATTTATTTGAATAACGAAGAAAGTTTTTTTTTAAAAGGCAATTTGGAATGAAGTAAAAACTCTAATAGCAGTGAAGAAAGTCTAATAGTATACTAGTTAAACACCAAATAAGCGTACACTTGACTCAGGATATCAATATCACACTGGACAGGGTGTGTAAATTACATTCAATTTCAGGATGCATTGAATCTATCATATATTAAAACGAACAATTTACAAATGTACTTTCGTCCAAATTATATGTAGAAAAACTTTTGGTGCAACTTAAAAATCAAAATGACAATTATGAAATAAATGTTTATAACACAGCTAGTGTCTGTTTGCTTATCACATTATACCCATAGGAGACAAAAATCATGTAATGTCGCCGAGGTCCAATGATATCAAGGACACTGGTCATCATACTACTATGTTAGCCTGAGGCTAGTCTGATTGACCAAGAGGCTATAAGTCATACCTGTGAGTCTTGTACCTGTCTGGTTTCCTTTGACCACATCTTGTCCACGGTTGATTAATGTAAAAGGTGTTGACATCGGAATCGAGGTGTTCAGCAGATCAGCAATATCGTGACCATTCTTTGGAACAGGTTCAGCTGGACAAGATGCAGAAATCACTTGTGAATCTCTTCTTCGCGGTATGTTCTATAATTATATATAATTTTCTATGTTTAGCAATACTTATATAAGTGAATACCTTCATTTGAAGCAAATATTGCGCTAGTGTCTATAAATGCATTTGCAAGGATTTATAATATTCAGTTCTGTTAAATTTGCAGTATTCATGAGTACATTCTGTAGATTCTTGGAGGTTTTTTTTAACTGATCTCAATATTGGGAAATTCTTTAATCACAGATGTAGGATTTCCAAAATAATGATACAAATGTGATAATAACATATTAAGAATATGATATTTAAATCATGTATGTTCGTTATAGAGAATGCATTCTTTAAGATATATCGGGAACGCATTCATTGAAAAAAAATAGTTGCGAAATATTAATGATTGTGTTAATGATACAAACTTGGTTCAATATGAGACTTGTACACGCCCAGTATAACTAGTGTGCTAAAATATGCGTTACAATTAATGAATGGGCATTTTTCTGCAATAAAAAAGATGTAAGTAGGTCAAAGTCCTCGTAAACTCCCAGGTTGTCACTCATCCTGCACCATTCTGCCAATTACTGGTAAGGGCATTCTATATCCGGTAGCTTCGTGTATAACATTCTAACTGATGTCACAATGGTAATGAAGTGACACCTCCATCATTACAAGGACATAAATATTGTATGAACCCAATGCATATCCAGTTTACATATTACATTCTCACCTCATTATTTGGATGTATAAATATATATGTGACTTTATCAATCACTCGTTTCCTTGTAATATTAAAAGAAGTGGTGTGCTTGTACGTTTTTTCGTAATAAAAGCTGTTAAGTTCAAATTATTGGGAAAAAAATTTTAAAAATGGAAGAATTCTACACTGGAAAGATAAAGATAATGATGATAAGCATATGTTCTAAAAGAAACAACCATATGATAATTCGAGGGGTTTTTACCATAAATCAATTTGGTTTTATTGAGAGAAAAAATAGGATACCTGTAGTTGTTTTATATACATTTTGATATGAAATATCACAAGATCGTCTTCAATATTACTAATTCTAAAGTTGGAAGTCATTATAACCAATCCCTAACTATTGCTATTATTTATGACGTATGCAGTTTTTATTATAAACATATTCCATTGTTACACCTGTTTCGTTAAAAACCCCTTCTGCCAACACAACCACTATACAATGAATAGTTATATATTTAAATATTTAAATATTTCACCTCTATATAATTGTTAAAATTCTACATTCATACAAATAACTGATTGAATAAGATATCTCTGTGATGATTTTTTTCACAAGTTGTAACAACGGATTCTCGTAATCACATACGAGCCATGATTTACAAGTGATTAATAAGAATACGTTTTGTCTTTTTAGTTTGTGTGCGGTGTAACTGTTGTTTCCGCATTTCACATGCAAAACGACCCGTCCCAAATAGCACGAGTGTGCACGGTAAGTCCAATATCACTACTATCGTCACTATAATAACTATACATTTGTTACGTGTCTGGTATTGTTAGTTTCTAAATGTACAGCTGTTTTCTAAGAGGTACTTATATTTTCTAAAAAAAGTATAAATATGGTTATTGATTAAGTGATAGACAACGCTAATTAATGAGGTATTAGTTATGATAGGAAATATGATCAAAATACTGGTAACAGATACAGAAAGCAATTAAATCGTGATGCTATTGCTGAAAATAAAAATTAACACGAATTTGTGCGCCATACATATTCAATTTCTATCCGTAACACTGGACACATCAGAACTAGGTAAACGTATCAAATAATGAATACTGTCAGAACTATCTGTTTGTAGTGATACAGTTAATATTATCATTGAAACTGGACAATTTCTTGTACATCAATTTATTATTTTATTTTTCTTTCTTTTCTTAAAACAACACATAAATCTTATTTAGTCCGTTTATACCGTAGCAAGGTGCAAGGACTGATTTATCAGTTGTGAGACTTGCATTGAAGAAGTTAAGCGGGGATGTCCCTTTTCGTCTTTTCTGTTCGCTGACTATTAAAGGCTGTGTACTTGAAGACTAGTGTAATTTGGTCAGTTTATGTCGAACCGGTAGCACTGTAAAGAAGGCAAATGAAATGTTGAAAGAGAGCAACTTTCGGTCAGATGATGACGTCATACATGCAGCGGAGGACTTTCTGAAATGTCACGAAAGGACTTCGTTGAAAGTGGCATTGGGGCCTTTAAACATCGCTGGCAAAAGAGTATATATACTGAAGGGAATTGTGTTGAAAAATAAGGCAATATGTCCTCCACAAGTCAAACCCTTAGATATGAGTCTCACAACCTATCAATCAGTCCTCGTATGACACATGAACATCGCAGGATCATTGTCAGACAAGATTTCCCAAATAATCACGAATGACTGAATGAAAGTCTTGCATTTATTATATTTATTCTGCAGGGACGAATATCACAAATCTGCCAATCCGCTGGTATGAGATGTAGAGCTAACCAGGCCTTTGATGCTGATATTCCTCATGCTGTTTGTGATAGGATGAACGGCAGGACACGTGGTATCAGACGTAAGTTTCGTATCATTTATTTTCAAAAATGAATCAAATGTCAATTTTTTGCAGAACTACATGTTTCCGAGATCATATTTCTTTTCAGGAATTCTCTACAGGTGCATGGTCATTAAAATCTGTACGTATCTGGTCCAGTTTTGAATCTGTATCATAGTTTCACATATTTGCTTGCTTTATACACGCTTTCCATCCACATATAGCTCAGGACCATCACTTTTGTGAAAGAGAGATACAATATTTCAGCCCTCCAAACTTAGGAATCCTCATTCCACCCCAGTGGCATACACGGGCCATTCTCTCCTTCCCAGTCCACCCTGTGTTCATAGTGGACTGATCAATTACAAGTCAACACTATGAGAAAATGTGTTGTGGACGTGATGCCCATCAACACCCCCGGTAGGATGATGTATAACTTCAATCTGATTTTTCTAGGCTTTTTTCTTGGCATTCCGTTACGTCAGCATTTCAACACAATTTCACCATTCAATGTTTCCACAGCGGCTGCTCTGTTAGCCAGACAAGGAAGGATGAGACAACAGAATATAGGAGGACAGTTCGGAGGAATGGCCACTAATATTGGGCGTACACGAGGCTTTGGAAGAGGGACAGCCGGACTAGGTAAACAGTTATTTAGTAGGCCGCTAATGTTGGATTTACGCAAGGCTTTGGAAGGTGTGGGGGGAGGGGCAGGTCTAAGTGAAATGTTATTTAGTAGGCCGCTATTATTGGGCTTACAAGATGTTTTGGAATGGGGGAGGGGAGGGGGAGGTCTAGGTGAAATGTTATTTTGTTGGCCACTAATATTGGGCTTCCACGAGGCTTTAAAAGAGGGGCGGCAGTACTAGATAATCAAATTGCTTAGTTTTAAGATTTGGTAAGAAAGAGACCTGTCTGATGTTTGTATTATATTGATTGTGTGGTATAATCTAACCAAACAAAAGAGAGGCTAAAGAGTTCTTTCCTGAAAAAAAAACACTGGGCGGGTAACAAAGGTTTCATAAATATATAAATAGATTGAATCAGTATGCCTTGCTAGCTTTATTTACTATCAGTATCATAGTAAATAGCATACATACTGAGTATGACAATAGATATATAAAGCGTGTACTCTTTTATATCATTTCCACATAACATAACACCATACTTTTCATTTTCGCACAAAACGCTTTGATGAAATAATTGCATTATTTCCCTTGAATAAAGATTGTTTTTATATAAAATACATGACTTAAATTGCTAATAGTAGCTTTGCTGATCGTTGAAATCTTCTCTGTTGAAAACAAAACAATATAAACACACACAATAGCAAAAGCTGTTGAAATAACGTGCTATATTATGTAAATAATCAATATATGACGTCACTAACAAGATGGTAAAACCCTTTTTTATTTTTCCTGGTCTGCGGTATACTAATAGTCATAAAAAATCGTTTGCGTTGGTTCCACAGGTGTTGATGGTCAAGCATTTGGCGGACGGTTAGGACGTGCGATGGGTAACGGAATGGCTGGAGGACGGGGAATTCGAGGAGGTATGGGAATCAATGGGCTGGACCAGATCGAATTCGGAGGACAAGAGATAGGAAATGGACTGGGATTTGGTGCTGGTGGACGTCAATTTGGAGGAGTAGTGAACGGCGGTCTTGGGCGCCGTCAACAATTCACGAGGGGATTAAACACAGGCCTCGCAGGTACCGGAAACGGTGGAGTTGGAATGAGAGGGGGCGTAGTTAACCGTCAGTTGACTTCTGGTGGTGTTGGATTGAATGGAGGAATAAATGGATTGAACAGTTTGAATGGTGGACTGAATGAGGGATTAAATGGTGGCTTGAACACTGGCTTGAACAGTGGATTAATCGGAGGAATGTCGGGTAGATTAGGAACGGGTGGAACTACAGCTAACCGTCAAGTAGCTAGTTCCTTCCAAAGTTCTGGACTAGGAGGGCAGCAGTTTGGGGGATCACAGCTGGGAGATGGACTCAACTTGGGACTATCACAAGGACAGGGAGACTTTGGAGGAACCAGTCAAACATTTAACAGCGGAGCTGGAAACAACCAGTGGATTTAGGAAATCATAAATCCAACATCTTTATAACAATATTCATCGTCATGAACGCCATAGCAGATAATGAAGCTAAGATGAGACTGAAATTAAACATTCGATCGTGATGCAGATAGGTAGTATTAAAGGGAAATAACTCTACCGAACTTGTATCACAGCACAGAGGCATATAGAAATACCGTGGGCTTTGTTAAAGAACGATTTTGAGTCTGTATGCTTCGATAGTATTGTAAAATATTTCAAACGGACAGAAAAAAAGAGAGAAAAAAGATAAGTGGGGTCGGGGGAGGGGAGGGGGAGGATAGGGTTGTCAGGTATACCCAACCCAATTTTTCAATTTGTTATCTCGATCAAACCAGAAAGCCATCTTCGTGACGAAATGGAATGCCGTAACGTGCACGTCACCTTTTAATTAATACAAATGTACCTACCGTTTTTACTTGTTTTACTTGAGAAGTTAACTGATGTGTCTATGTGTTTTGTAAATATCGTGTATTAATTGTAAAAGTATACCTACGATATCTACCTCAATACCTGTATAAAGTTATTGTTTATTCCCGAAATGACAGTAGATGTCAAGTAACCAATTGACATAATCTTTGTTGTGTCGGGAAATCTGATTGGACGTCACTCCCGCGTTTTGGACGTCACTCCCGCGTTGTGGTGTGACGCAACAATCGTGTTATTTTTTTACAATTTGTTTGTACTACTCTGATAGCCATAATTTGTATCGTACTAATACCTTACTGTAATTTGCTGGTAAAATGCCAACATGATGTACATATTGTTTCTAATTTCATCATAATGTAAGATTTCCATCGTCATCGTTATTTTGATTGTAGAGTTGTTTATTTGAAGTAGATTTGTACAGCTAACAGTCTGGTTGTTTGTCTTTTTCTTGTTTATCGTGTAAATGCCGTGTAACACCTGAAATGAATAAAACAATGGGCCAGAACTAGGAATAGTAATACAAATTACAATAACTGGGAATACTTCTTCCAATGGACTATAACTGAATTTGCCAAATTGAATGGGACATACCTAGCTATAGATATATATATAAAAAAAACAAGGGCAACAAGTTGACTTATCCAATACAATGGACCATAACAAAGCATGTGTAATAAAATGGGCCGTAGGTCAGCATACAAGTGTACGTACATGTAATATAACTGGCCATATATCGCCATATCTAGGCATATGTAACACAATATGCCATATCTAGGCATACGTAACACGATACGCCATATCTAGGCATACGTAACACGATACGCCATATCTAGGCATACGTAACACGATACGCCATATCTAGGCATACGTAACACAATACGCAATATCTAGACACACGTAATACAAAACGCCATATCTAGGCATGTGTAACAAAATACGCCATATCTAGACACACGTAATACAATACGCCATATCTAGGCACACGTAACACGATACGCCGTATCTAGGCACACGTAACACGATACGCCATATCTAGGCACACGTAACACAATACGCTAATATCTAGACACACGTAACACAATACGCAATATCTAGACACACGTAATACAAAACGCCATATCTAGGAATGTGTAACACAATACGCCATATCTAGACACACGTAACACAATACACAATAGCTAGACACACGTAATACAATACGCAATATCTAGACACACGTAATACAAAACGCCATATCTAGGCATGTGTAACAAAAAAAAACATATCTAGGCATGTGTAACACAATACGCCATATCTAAGCATGCGTAACACAATATACGCCATACCTAGGCACACGTAACACGATACGCAATATTTAGACACACGTAATACAAAACGCCATATCTAGGAATGTGTAACACAATACGCCATATCTAGACACACGTAACACAATACACAATAGCTAGACACACGTAATACAAAACGCCATATCTAGGCATGTGTAACAAAAAAAAAAAACATATCTAGGCATGTGTAACACAATACGCTATATCTAAGCATGCGTAACACAATATACGCCATATCTAGGCACACGGAACACAATATGCTATATCTAGGCATGTGTAACACATTATGCCATATCTAGGCACACGTAACACATTATGCCATATTTAGGCATACGGAACAGAATACGCCATATCTAGGCAATCTTACTAAAATAGGCCATAATTTGGCAATCTTTATTCAATACGTCAAACCTAGGTAAACATTATACAATACGCCAGACATGGGCTTGCATATGACAATTGGGCAGTACGCGCAGTTTGAGTCAAATATTGTTTCCAGGAGTAGTCTCCCCTACACTATAGAAATCCGTGTTCTGCATCGTACATTAGATTATCTAACAGCTAAAGCATTAGATTTAACTGACGTAGATGGAAGAACGCTAAAAATGTTAAATGCATACTAAATTTTGAGAACTATAGTGTATTAAAGAAAACTATAAAACGGAAAATGAATGACAAATGTTCTGGATTGACAAACAGAAACTGACAACTGATGAAGGGTAACCTAAATATTTATTTTGTGGAGTGAGAAAATAAAACAACTGATTAATAACAACGTAGGGTCTAGACATAGATAATGTTTTATCGGCTGAATGCATTCCTATACGTCATTACTACGGCTATTTATTTATGCGGAAAAATTGTCGATCTAAAAGATAATCATAGTTACATATTACATACATTTTCCTGTTGTTTATTTCCTTGTGCTAAAATTAAGAACATAACACATATATTTCTATCAGCAATCTTCATTTACCATGCTACCACCAGGGATATATCACCACCTATCTACAGGTAAAGCATACAGGTATATCCCTTTTTCTAATAGTAAATATTTTGATACCTACCATCTATAATGCCGACATGTCACAGCTGATAGTATATTCAAGGAATTTCTGTTTTTATCATGACTGCAGTTTCATTACTGAGTAAGGAAGATATACGTTTGGACTTCACAAGATATGTAATTGAATATGGAATGAATTTACATGGCAAGTGCCATGTATAAAGCTGAAGACGCTTATCCTTCTGGAATGCACGTTTGTTTTCTCTTGTGTATACTCCGGGTCCACTTATTTGTAATGATTTAGTATTAAATTAACGGTTTATTTACTCTACATCCTTACAATACTTCTATCAGAAAATAGAAAATTCAACAAATATAAAGAATGTTTATTGACGTTATGAGGAAAAAAATTCAATCATTGACAAGAATTCGAAAGGTTGACTATACTCGCTGCAATATATTTTTTTATTCTAAAATGATAAAGAATATACACATACATAGGATCTTGCCTGGGGTGTCATTGTATTCCAATTTTATAAATTACGTATTAACATTTCTCAATGAAGCTATTGTCATAAAAATATTATGAACAATTTTAGAATATAAGCAATCTCACTGACACTTTTTTTTATATTGAATTGAATTGAAGTGAACAAAGAAAGAAAAAAATATAGGGAACGTAAATATAGCCACTGAACTCATTTGATATGGAATTTGTTGCTGGAGGGCAATACATTCATTTCCTGTATTCATACTGCGAAACGTCAACGTAGCAATACGTTAAATTCTTTAACTCGTACATTCACCGATTAATGTACATACCAAGACATTTCCGGAACAAATACACACGTGCCAACTTATGAACAAAATTTCAGTTCAAACTTTAATTCAAATATACTTAAGCCAAATATGAACAAAAGATATATTTAAATGGAGACACCCGATAAAACATATTCGGCCTCTAACGAAAATAGTAACAAATCAGACAAGAGAAAGCCAATCGTCTGTCGGAAGATCATACCACCAAATCTGGTGAAGATATTGACAATCAAGAATTCGATTAATTTTTTTACAATTTCACTCTCGATTTATTTCTACTTCGCTGTAGACTAACTTTTACGAAATACCCTCCGATATAGTTCACAACCTTATATTTGTAGCGCCGTTCATCACTTAACTCCGTTAAAAAGAATTAAATGGAAAATTAAAAATCCCCCTTTGAAAATAGAATTAAAAAGACATAAATTATACAAAAAAAAACATTTAAAACATCTCAAGAAAAGAAAATAAACCAATATAACAGAAACAAAATACAAAAAAATGAGAAAATAGTGAAAAAAATCACGGCTTACTTAGATGGAAAAATCCCAAATACTTAAAGGGACTAAAAAAATGAGGTCGTTTTACAAAGTAAGAATTGAAACATGGCTGGCAATTCAAGTTTTGGCTAATTACATAATCAGACATAGTAAGAAATCATATCAAAACGACGGGTGAAAACGAGGCTCGGAAAGGTCACGTGAAGAAATCGGCTATCTCCGATCAAAACAGCGATGGGTGGTAGGCCCAACAGCGAATGTCGACTAGTGTTAGTTTGAAGCCGATAATATTTTTTAATTACTCTCTGAGAGATTTGTAATTTTGTGAAGTGTCCAATTTTAAGTATTTCAATGTTTGCCAGAGATCAAACACACGGGAAAATAACGTAGTCTAACTATTTATTCCCTTTGATTGTTTTACAGGTCTGTATACTTCATATCTATTGTCATAACAAGTACATTAATCTACATATATACACACATATATTATAATGATAAAATAGTTGTGAACGTATATTAAAAAAATTATGTATATGTACAAAGTACTTGCCGTTAGATATATATTTCTATACATATATTTCTATCTAATATTATTTAGCGATATATAAACTAATATTGAACTATGTGGAGAAAAAGCTAAATGAAAATAATAGAAACGGATTGTATCTTATAATCTGATAATATAAATATATAATAAATTAGGCCTACTAATGTAATATAGTATATCAAATTATTTCTACGTGAGTTAGCCGAACTATCAGTGACAATTTATGCGACATGGATGGGGTAATAAATGCTTTATACTTATTCACACCGACAGAAATATTACTTCGTTATTCTTCACAATAAAACTGTCAAGTTATCTCCCTTCAAAAAACAAAACTGTGTATCAGTATAGTACTGTCA